CCTGATGATTCACTCCTCCCCTGGCTCTTTCTATAGAATTCCTCACACGTTTTTGCTGAGTCTAGGTCCCAGAGGAGATACAGGCAAAGAGGTGAGGATGACCTGAAGCATTCTTTTTTGACTCTTACACTGTTTAATGTATTTCTTTATTATTAAATCAAAGCACTGTACAGAAAAATGTACCGTTTAAGTTTTTTATACTCCCACAGTGGTGGAAGAAGTAAGTCTTTATTTATATAGCACTTTTCAAAGACATATGTCACAAAGACACTTTATAGATCATTATCGAAGTACTCATTTTTTTTACTTAAAGATTTTATATTCCCACAATAGATTCTTGTCAGCTTTAAGCCATGTTATCAGGTTGTTCCCTCATCAAAAACATACTGGTAGTTGTGCTTTTTTCCATTCACACGTTTGAGTAATCCTTTATTTTTTAGTCTGTCTACATCTCCAAAGCTCAAAATGTGCTTCCTTGTGATGTCATGAAGTGGTAATATATACACACATATACAGCTACCTTTAACCTTTAATTCTGTAGACATGGGCAAATTCAGGCCTGAAATCATCCAAATGACTCAACTGAAGGTGCATGGAGTTTAAACACACAGTGTAGCATATTTCCTGTATTACCACATGACATTACAAAGTGTTTTCAGTTTGAGAGAAGAACTCAGAGCCTAAATATGCAGGACTTGTGTGTTAAACATGTGTGAATGAAACAAAACACAACTCCAGGTATGTTTGTGACTAGGAAACATTATAACATAGATCAGAAAATAGTGTAACATGGGACCTAAAAGTATTAAAGTACTAATTTAAAAAGGCACCTTTGTAGAGTTGTGCATTTCAAAGCAAAGTGTGAAAAAGAGTATTTCTCTCCTCTTTCCTCCCTCCTCCCCTCTCCACTCTCCCCTTTGAGTCTCTCCTCTCATCTCCTCCTTCCTCTCCTCTTCTCTTTACTCTCCTCACCTCTTTCCTCTCCTCTTTCCTTGTGTGTTTTGGCTGCAGGGTTTAACACGTTGTACAAAAAAACCACAGCTGCTTCAGTGAAGTCTGCCTAAATATTTAGCTCTCCTGAACACACAGGCACGTGAGCGGGTCGAGTGGGTCTGAACCCGGAGACATTCCTTTCAAATAGAGAAGAAAAGATCGGAGGATTAGAGCACAGGGCTAAACACGCACAGCTCAAAAATATGACAACTAAATACGCTATTGATAAGCCTACTTTGCAGCTGACATCATCAACATTCCCTGGGCTGTGATGCTAACTGTAGGCACTACTCAATCTGAAGCTCTGTGACTCAAAATAGACTTTAATGTGATTTTTATTTTAACACAATCTGCCCGGAAAGAACTGATTTAGTTGGAACTACAACAGGTGAGCTGATTTGTGCTGCTAAACAAGTCAAGCTCATGTCTATGGATGTGTTTCAGCTTTGCCTGCAAAGTTTCACAGTCCGACATTCTTCCTGTAAGTGGGCTACATTTTTCCAATAATTCGGCCTGATGCGTCACATGCTTTAGTCACCACTGAGATATAAAATCGAATGCCATACAACAGAAAATTCCATAACATTGCTACGAAGACAAGCAGTTGGCAGACCCTCTAGCTTAAAAGTGCACCTCATTTCAAATCATTTAAAAACCCTTGATATGTAACAACAAACCACATTGTTGAACCAAAGCTCCAATTAGAAATTCAATGACAGAAACAGACAAAACAAGCCCACCCACTGCCCCAGACGCTTAAGTTGTATGAGACAGAGCTTAAAGGGCAGAGCTTATTTTCTATTTTGTCCCATTCGCACGTGTTTAAAACATACAGATCCTGCATATCTAGGCTTCGTTAGGCTTAATTCTTCCCTCAAAACAGAAAACACTCTTCTACCTTGTGATGTCATGTGGTAATATAGGAAGTAGAGCCCGACCGATATGGATTTTGTTGTGGCTGATATGAAACCGATATGATGGGAGTTGGCGCTGCCGATAGCCGATATAATCGCCGATATATTTAGTGATGTAAAAATTCACTGTAAATCTTTAATTGTTTAAAAAACTTAGGTTTGGCTCTAGTGGATTCTAAATTGGGTTTATGTAGGCAACATTTATTGTTATTCTGACTCTTTACATCATATTTACATACAGTAGATTGGCCTAATGGCATTTTTGCATCACATTCTAGCTACTAGTGATGGGTATTGAAGTTTTTTTTTTTTTGGATAACCGGCTCTTTTGGCTCGGCTCACTAAAGCAGATGGCTCTTTCGGCTCCCAAGCGACTCTTGAGATTGTTTTGTTGCAAGCAGGACTAAACCAGAACTGAACCAGGACTGAGTGTCGGGACTCGGTCTCTCCTTCACTCAAGCCCAAGATTAGTCCTGGTTTATTCATTTTATGCTGAACTGCAGCCAAATATGCACTTTTTTTTAATCCTATGCACACGCAGATTTCTGAAAGTTTCGTTTTCAGCCGCTGCTGCTGTCAAACTACTGGTCTACATGCGGCATGAAGAGAAAAAGTGAGAAAAAGAGAAAACACGGCCCCCAATAAGTAACATGCTCCCGTTGTTCGCTTCAAAGAGCCGGCTCTAAGAGCTGTTTCGATAAATAAACTACCGCTATTAGCCTTTAGCCGTAAAAACGTGCGCGCCGCGGTAATTAATTATATGCATAAATGTGGATCATTTACACATGTGTTCACAGCTCATTTACATATCAATGCTGGTCCAGTAACAAATATACGGCCAATGTAGTCACTTTACAATAGGCCAATAGAAAACAGCCTGTTTATGTGCGGGAGCTACAGCAGCTAATCGCTAACAAAACCTAAACTAGCTTCAAAGTCAATGTATTTCCAACACTCACCGCTCACACAGGCTCCTCCTCACATCACAAGTCTGCACTAATAAATGTCCTTTTAATCCAGACTCAAACGATTGTCCGTAAAAAGAAAATAATCTCAGTGTCGCACACCGCTGCGGGTGTAAACAAGAACACGTGAGTGAAGTGACGTGACTCTGGTGGACAGTACGGAAACACACACACACAGAAATGACTCTGCAGATAAATACTGATGTGGAGCCACATATTTGGACATTTATCTGTCTGTAAATTGGATTAAATGACCAAAATGTAGAGAGTCTAAGCTTTACAACGAGGTATAACATGCCCACGTGAAATATCGGCCCCTATCAGCAAGCATATCGGCCGATAGCCGATATGTCTACAGTTGCCCATATCGGCCGATAACATAGGCCAGCCGATATATCGGTCGGGCTCTAATAGGAAGTGCTCCATTGTGTTTTTAACTTCATACATCTTCACTAGAATCATTTGGATAATTTCAGACATGGAATTGCCTCTCTCTTCTGATCTAAATGTATAAGGTAGCTGTTAACCTGAAAACTACAGCTACATGGCATCACAAGGTGTAACAGAGCATTTTGGGCTTTGGAGATGTAGACAGACTAATAATGAAGGGTTACTCAAATGTATGTGAATGAAATAAAACAAGTCTGGGTATGTTTCTGAGGAGGCAACAACATTAAACTTAAAGACTTAATAGCGTTAAGTCTATTAAGACAGAAGAATCAATTTTGTGTAATATAGAACCTTAAAAAATAACTTAATTACTTCACACTCAAAAAACTGCCAATCACCTCAAATACATTCAGCAAAAAAAAAAAGAACAAGTCATCTTTACAACAGCATTTCACAAAACAGGAAGTGGCAGTTTCCTTTACTGTCTATGCATTGCAAGACTACAGTACATGTACATTTCCAGGCTATTAGATGCGCTCTAAAGCCTCTAACCCTATCAAAAAACGACCGTGCCCCGCAATCCAGAGTGCCCCATACACGAATTCACTCGGGTGTCCCAGCACGACTTCAGTAAACTACAAAGCCGTGACCACGCCAAACAAAGTCCGACTGACCCATCGAACTGTTGTGTTTCGTTTAAAGTCCAGTGCGGTTTATTTGTGAAAAAAGTTTGAAAATAGCGCCTAATAACCCGTAAAATACAGTATACATAAAGGATATTTATTCAGGTGTCCAACTTATTATAAGGTACTAGAAGTAACCAGTGCTATAACCGCTGTGTTTAGATCTATACAAAGCAGCTGTGTAATGCAAAATAGGACTAATGCGAGATTAGAGCTGGTTGGGAATTTTTAAGAGAAAGGTCTATAGCCAATCCTTTGCTTAGGATAGGTCACCCCTGGGGCACTGAAGAATGGGTCAAATACAGAGAACTAATTCCTTTATAGGGACAGAAAGTGTACCCAGCACAACAAAGTAAAAGCAGTAAAGAACTGTACCTAAGTGTAAATTTGAGGTATTAGCACGTTAAGTGGATACTTTTTACTTTTACTTCACTACATTCGAGAACAGGTATCTCTATCTTTCTACTCTACTACATTTTTGAACTGGACTGCGTATATTTCTTATTTTTCTTTATTTTCAGTACATTCATAGTCTGAGAAAAAATCCAATCAATTCAGTTGTTCAAAATGCAGCACAAATCTTTATTAAAGTCACTACATTAGACCTCAAACAGTGCACACACTTTTAATTTTTACTCTTTAAATACATTTTTAAACTGGTATATTAATACTTTTACTTAAGTAGATTTTTCATTTTTCATGACACTGATAACAAGAATGTACTGGTGATGTTCAGGAAATTAATAACAATAATAAACTTTTTTATCTGTTTTTAACTATACAAAATCTAATCAAAATTGGTGTTTGATTAAAATAACTGTAAAAAAACAATTCAATTGCTCACATTGCTATTGTGATATACAGGGAAAGCAATACTAAAAGTAGTATCTCAAGTGAGCAGGTATTGATACTAAAAAAAGTAATATTAATAAGATGGAATTTGAGCTTTCTTGAACTTTTTTAGTATAAGATCTCATGGTAACACTAGTAAGCAAGAGTACCCCTAAAAATCTTAAATGACAGCCAAACAGAAGTTAACTAATATAGTGTGGTACCTGAAAGTTCCCAACCATTATGAGGCCGGCTGCACAGATCCAGCCCGTGGACAGACTGGCCGTGTTCAGGACACAGTTCTGGTGCTTCTCAATCACATGGGCGTATCTCAGCAGCACAATCACCATCACTGCAAAACACACACACAAAACAGCCATAGGTCAGCTTTTAGTCTTATCTACTGATCTCAATACCACAATGTAGGATTGTCAAAAGTACTAAAAACTAAATACTAAAATTAGTATTGAAAGAGATAGACTGTAGTGTATTTTAATTATATTCATTATAAAACTCAGGAAACTTTGTCCTATTTTGTGATTTTCTTCTGTATCAAAACATCTTATAATGACTATAGTTTCAATACTACTAGTATAGTTAGTACTAGAGTACGATAATACTAGTTTGAGTAGCAGTATCTGAGTATCTAGTAAGTTATTACAAAAACTCAACTGTACACATAGAAACGCAGGAATTCTTGGATAGTTATTTTTGGAAAGACTAGTCTCCTGTCTCAAATTCCCCCCAAACACTCCTCCATTTATTTAGCCAAGAAAAACACAAGGGATTCTGGGAGTGTGGATTACAGGAAGTCAGATTTGTACTGAAAATGACGGGGGCAGGAAAAGGCGCGAAAGTAGAGGTATTGGTGCATGAGAGAGAGAGATGAATGGAGAGATGGAGAGGGAGAGAAGGAAGGGGGAGTGGGCCTAGTTGAACTAAAGCTGAGGGTCTAACAGGCTGTGAGGGCTCCTTTTGTTCCAGTGTTGTAGTAGTATTGTGTAGTGGAGTGGTTAGCCTTTGTTGGCGGTGCTTGATGAGGATTGACTGGTGTAAAGGGGAAAGCAGGGCACACACGAGGGGGTCCAGGAGGGAGGGGGGCAGGAGACGAGGGAACAGGCAGCTCCCAGTGTCCAAACCAAATACAGCACTTACAACTGTACATGACACTAATGTAGGGATGCACAAAATATGGCCAAGTTCAAGGACCCATATTACGCTATTTTCTGATCAATGTTACAATGTTGTTCTCTCATCACAAACAGACCCGGAGTTGTGTTTTGTTTAATTCATACATGTTAAACACACAAATCCTGCATATTTAGGCTGAGTTATTCTCTCAAATAGAAAACCCTGATGTCATGTGGTAATACAAGAAGTGCTCCACTGTGTTTTTAAACTCCATACAGGTTCACTAGAATCATTTGGATAATTTCAGACCTAAAATTTGTCATCTCTATCAAACAAAAGGTAATTGTTAACTTGAAAGTACCGCTTCATGGCATCACAAGGTGGAACAGCATTTTGAGCTTTGGAGATGTAGACAGACTGATAACAGAAGTTTACTCAAACATGTGTTAATGAAATAAAACACAATTAATATAGAAACTTTAAACAATACTGACTTGAAACGCCAATGTATAGTAAAGTCAGTAAAGTAAAAATATCCATTTAAAAAATGTATTTAAGTAAGCATAAATTGTTAGGTATCTGTACGTTAAATACAGTACTTCATTACTTTTATTTCATCATGTTCCACCATTGATTAGAACAGACATATCACTCATGTCTATCTACATTGTGAGTGAATCTGAACCTTAAATCTCGAAATAAGGAGTGTCTTTGGGGCCCATGAATCCAAACAGTGAAGGAGAAATGGCACAATGTGGAGCTTTGTGTCCAGAGCCAAAGACAACATGGAGAGGAGCTGCCATGTTTCAGAGCTCAGATGGTCTGCGTTTGGAGAAGAAGGTAATGCACTCCTCTAGACCTGGATTACATCAAACAAAGGCTCCTTTGAATGGCTCTGAGTTACATAACGTATTTGTCAGTTCTGAGTTTTGTCAAACTTAAGCTCACTAACATTGTTCTAGGGTTGTCAAAAATATCTAAAATCAGATACTAATCTCTACTAAAACTAGTACTGAAACTAGACACTCATTTGAGCAGGTACTACATATACTAAAAAAGTCACATTCACAGGACAAAAATGCATAGCACTTTTAAGCTTCCTGAATAGCTTTAGAATGACCTTGAGCTGTATCAGAACAAGTATAAAAACACATAGACTAGTATACGTCCATGGACCACTATGGCACCCACCTGGACCACTGAGGGATTACACAGATAGGACCATGGAAATATAACAGAAAGTACTATTATTTAATGTCGAAAATTACAACCTATTGTGTAAATAAATAGTGTTTATAGCTCAGATATTTTTAGACGTTGACATCACAGCACAGGAGGAAAAGGTGCTAAGAGGGGACTGACACATTGCACTGAATCTGTTGGAGCAAGTAAGTCGCCAACGTTTTGATCTAAACTAATATAAGGAGAGACAGTAAAGCCGGTGGGACTGAACCAAGTTGTACCGTATTTTTCATACTTTGCACTTTCGCACTTTTTTTCACACTGAGGCTGAAGAATTCAATGGATTTAGTGATTTGGAGTGAGATGGAGAGATTAGGAAACTTGTTCTGTTCTGTTGTTTATGCTATAGTTATCTAAATAAGTGTTCATATGTTACACTAACATACCAGACACCTTTTCAGGCAGTTATTCTCTGTTCTATTGTCATTACTATAACTTGTCTTTCAGTGATGAAATGTCAGTTTTTGGTCTCTGATTTTATAAAATAAATTTCCCCCAAAAAGTGCAACTTAATATGTTTTTTCTTCATTATGCATTTTTTTGCTGGCTTTTTGACTTATACTCCAGATGTGTCTTATAGTTATATATATATAGTTACTTAGAGTCCGAAAAATGCAGCATATTGCCAATCATACAGCAGGCAAGATTTTAATATATTGTAGTCTAGATTAATGCTATTTATATCAAGTACTGTTTGGTAGAAGCTGATAAATAAGAAACAATTAAGTTAGTAAAATATGACCTATTCATTTCATATACAGTAGTATTTGGTAATAACTAGTACAGAAGCTACTGGCAGGGTCACGTTTTACATCCAATCAAGCACATTGTTACTAACAATCGTGGGAAACTGCCTGATACTATCTCTGACACTTGACTCTATTATGGTGCATTTTCAAGAGTGTCAAATAATCAAATAGTAGGCCAAGATTTGAGAAACACAAACAACTGTCGGACACGATCCCAGACAGTTGTTTCTGTGTCACGGTGCAATATCACAGCGGCAGAAAGGATTAAATGGGCGGGACTAAAAGTTCAAACTAGCACATGCTCTAACATTATCATGTCTAGAGAATATGTTGAGGTAAATATGAGAAGTATGTCCTGGTGTTGTTTGTTAGTGTTGTTGCTGAGGTAACCCAAAGCTAACTCCACTTGTTATTAGATTAGATGAGTCTCCTGCAGACCGCCTGTCTGACTGGACCTGCACAGACAATTTCATGGCCTCAAAAGGGCAGCTCCTCCAAATCATCTGAACAGTTTGAAGGTTAAAGGTCAGATATTACGCAAACTTGACTCTTATGAGCTTTAAGTCATGTTAGAATGCCGTTACCTCATCAAAACCATGCCTGGAATTGTGTTTTGTTTCATTCACACATGTTTGAGTAATCCTGTATTATTAGTCTGTGTACATCTCCAGATCTCAAAATCTCCTTGTGATGTCATGAAGCGGCAGTTGTCAAGAGCTACCCTTTACTTTTAGTTCAGTAGAGATTGCCAATTCCAGGGCTGAAATCATCCAAATGATTCTAATGAAGGTGTACGATATTTAAAAACAGTGTTTTATGTTTGAGAGAAGAACTCGACCTAAATATGCAGTTTGTGCATGTTAAACATATGTGAATGAAACGAAACACAACAGGTATGTTTTTGATGAGGAAACATCACATAGATCAGAAAATAGCATAATATGGGCACTTTAAAGACCAGATGTTTACAGCCTGATTTCTTGTCTCTGTGTGTAAGTTAAAGGCAGGAGAAAGTCTTCTATGAGGGGTGAGCTGGGGTCAGGGCACCTCTGAGACAACAATGGCTGACATAAATAAACTGTCTCTTAGGCGTCAGTTATTTTCCCCATAACCAAGCTCTCACAGGGTCAATCCTGTTTCTGTGAACAGGAAGAGCAAGAGAGGAAACAAGGCTGCTCTACTTTACTACATTATCCTGTCAAAGAGTCGATGTTGTATCCACAAGCATATTGTGAAATATTATGTTCACACACACAGCTTACTTGGCTCCTACAAAGTACCATTTTATACTGGCCTTATCCAATTTCATGTTCAAATTAAACTAGGGTTTTCCTAGCAGTGTATTGACAAGGGAACATTGACTAAATAAAGTCCTGTACCACGCGAAATGGATTCTTGTGAGCTTTAAGCCATTTTATGTCGCTACGTCCTCAAAAACATACCTAGAGTTGTGTTGTGTTTCATTCACACATGTTTGAGTAATCCTTAGGTTCATGTAGCTGTAATTTTCAAGTTAACAGCTACCTTTTATCTTTTGTTTAAAACAGACTGGCAATTTCAGGGCTGAAATCATGAACATGATTCTAGTGACGGTGTATGGAGTTTAAAGACACAGTGGAGCACTTCCTGTATTACCACATGACATCACAAAGTGGAAGAGAGTGTTTGAGAGAAGACCTTAGCCTAAATAGCCAGGATTTGTTTGTTAAACTTGTGTGATGGTACCAAACAACTCCAGGTATGTTTGTGATAAGGAAACAGCATTAAAATATAGACAAGAAAATACTATAATATGGGCGATATAATGAAAAAAAAATTATATCAAAATTGCTGTTTTGGAGATCAACAAAATTAGAATACGGAAAATGCTGTCTACATCTATATTACAGGAGAAAAATATATATTTTAAAAGGGTATAACAAAGACAGTAAAAATGGAAAATGACAGAAATTTGGAGTGTAATCGTCCAAATGAGTATAAAGTAATATGTCTGCACTTTTACACTCCATTTATGTTTTGTGAAATACTTGAACCTCATCCAAATCAGTAACAGGCATGTATCAGGATAATTCTAAAAAAAAAATTATTTAAAATGTGTCAATATGGTTAGCTTCTAAATTTGACCATTACAACCATTTCATTGGTTTTCCTCAAGAGAAGCCCTGAACATAACACATCCCTTTGATGAGAGATAAAACAAAGCCTATCTCTCAGTGGTATAAAACATGACTTCCCACATGAGGAGCTGGATCAATAGTGCACGCTCTCACACAGCGGGCCATAGACAAAGAATGTGTGTTTGTCAAATCACAGACTGAGCGGAGAGAGGTGGGAGCTGAAAGTACAGTTCACAGAGTCCAGACAGGATCGCGCAGGTTAAGTCTCACAGTCTAATATCACAGCACAGATCAATGGGCTGAGATGCTGAGATGTGATTTGGATACAATGGGCTGTTGTGGAGCGGCGTGCCAACTCAACTTAACCTAGTTTTGTGCCCTTGCAACAGAATTAACTTATGGTATGTACTGACTGAGAACAAGAGGATCAGGAGGAACAACTGCAGACGACTGACCTACAGAACTTCAACTGTGGTCCGTTCACAAGTAAACCAGAACAAACACATATAGATTATAGTAAGACACTAATCCTTAACAGCCAAGAGGTAAACAGGTTACATAGCACATATTATGTCAGATGGTAGATTCATTGGTTTGAATTAAACACCTGCAGGTCAACTGCCAACTGAGGAAAATGTCCTCACAGTGAGGGGCAGTGTCAGACTGCAGTACAGCTGTTTCAGGATAACACAGGGGCACATTAGCATGTACATTAACATTAACTTGTACAATGTACAGATAATGTAGCATTCATATTAGAAATATATTGGAAAACTGATTTGTCCTACAATCACCCAGATGGATTGTCTGAAAGTCTTGAGTGTCTTTAGAAGTTACAAAACAGAAGGCCCTGACCCTTTATGTGTAACAGAGCAGTGGAATGCAGTACTCCTGATTCCTGATCTAACCTTTTAGATCATATCAAAGGTTTTAGATCAGATTTTATTTGGGACATTACCTGTAATTTCATATTTATACATAATATGCAAATGTTAAAATGTTAAATGTATAAATATGAAATTACAGGTACACTCAATCCCTGTAGGGGATTAAGTGTACCTGTAATTCTGCTCTGCATTTGACGCATCCTTAAGGATGCAGTGGGCAGAGCTTTACCTAGACCATTTTAGGGTAAAAGAGGAAACTAGAGGATGTGTCTGGGGTGATGGAAGTCTGGAAGTGCCTGCTTAGACTTCTGCCCCCGCGACCCGGCCCTGAATAAGCGGAAGAAAATGGATAGATGAAGGAAACTGGAGTTCTGTAAGAAAACCAACCCAAACAGAGGAAGAACATGCAAACTCCACACAGAAAGTCAAACCCAGGACTTTCTAGTTGTGAGGACAGAGTGCAAATCTCTCACAAACTGTGTGCATCTGAAGTGATCATCTGAGAGTCAGTCATGTAACGTCCAGTCTGCCTTGGCAGAAACAGTGGATAAGAAAATGGTCTATTTTAAAATCACTGTAACTGTTTTGTAATTTAGATCAGGTTGAGAACCACTAGTAACACATTATAACAGTACTGTTTAGCCAAAGTGTCAGTTGATGCTCCTCTTATTCACATCTCCTCTCTTAACATTCTGTAAATGCCACTTGTAAACGTGCCAGTCAGCGGGTTCACTCGTGGTAACAGCCCTGCAGATCCTCGTGCTTGTTTATGTGCTCCTCCTCACTGGACTGGACTCCATGTCCTCCTGGAGGATTTTTCCATAAAGAGCTAAAGTGTAGTGCCAAATAGCCCCAAACCCTTTTGTTCCAGTGCCACACAGCAGACAAACAAGAGCCGGCGCCGCTGCTCCAGCTGGGAAACATTAACCAGAGCAGGGCACCAACTACAGCAGGAGGAGCATGATGAGGAGGAGACAACAGCATGAAGAGGAGGAGACAACAGCACAAGGAGGAAGAACACAAGGAAGAGGAACACAAAGAGGAGCATAAGAAGGGGGAGACAACAGCATAATGAGAAGCACGAGGAGGAGCATGAGGAGGAAAAGCAAGAGGAAGGGGATATAACAGCACGAGCAGCAGCACGAGGAGATGGAGATGAGGAGGGGGATACAACAACACAGGAGCAGCACAAGGAGGAGCACAAGGAGGGCATGAGGAAGGGAAAACAACAACACAGGAGCAGAACAAGAAGCACAAAGAGGAGCAGCACAAGGAGGAGCAGACAACAGAACAGGGCTCTAGTGCTCTGCTAGTGCTGTGTCCACGCTTACTCACATTTGACCTGTATCTAACTGCAGCAAACACACATCTTTGGTGAGGATTTTGTGGCAAGTACATCTGCAGTAAAGTTCTGAGTCCCACGTTGACCTTCTGTTGTCAAGTCCCCGTTTCAGTTTGAGTGTTAGCTTTTGCCATTTTAACTGTTACTGACTTAACCTCAGAGTTTCACTCAGGATTTCCACTGAAAAAGCACAGTGGCTAACCCACAGAAGTCAACTTTATATTGAAATGTACCAGCATAACAATATTATTTCTTAGTTTTGTAATAACATGTTAAATATTTTTGTGTATGGAGACTTACCCATGAATGACCCTGTGCTGCAGATAAGGCTGAAGAAGCAGCTCTCCGGGGGAAGAGTCCCACATTTACTATAACAAACAATACAAGGTCAAATGAATGCAAATAGAATACATTGGAATACATTAGAATACATCAGGTTCAATATTTGGGATTTCACCCTTTAGATCTTTCATGGCAAAGTACAAAAATCAATATTAAATCAATATCAAAAACTGTCTCTTGCCCCCCACCAAAGCCAAAAGCCAAAGCCCTCTCAGCTGACTACAGTCACACATTCTTCATGTACAATATGACGTGGTCTCACACTAAAGAGTATTAGCTGGTGTAGAACTAGTACGATTAGGTTCAGTCTGTATCTTCAACTCAAGTCAAACTCTTAGGAGCTCAACTAAATGATTTATTAACATTTCCCAAGTTGCAGTCAAAACACTTTTACATGATATTAGCTGTGATTAAAAAGGGGAAACAGGTAAGGAGGAGTATTATCTTAACTTATAATAACATCTTAAGTGATTATTCAGACTTTCTTTCTTTAGTCTACACTTTCACTATAATGTCCAACAGGATATATCTGCCCAAAGTTATTTTCAGAATGTGCCTCCTTCAGGTGCAGCAGCAGACGCCAGGAAAACAATAGCACCATGTTCCTATGCCAAAGAGGAAACACACACACACACATACATACACATACACAGAACACATACACACACATAAACGGCAGACACAGGGAGCAGACCTGATGAGAGGGACGTGGTCCAGAGTGCAGCACAGAGTTGGGCCGCTCTGTAAATACAGCTCCTCTTCACATGACTGGTTGTACAGCCTGGAACAGCAAACACACAGAGAGCACAGGTCACATCTACAGTGTCATCTACACCCTGATGGAAGAATACAGTGAAAATGCATTTAGTTACAGAATACTGAATATACTGAATAAATTACACAATGAAGTTTTCCTTTTAGTTTGGAAAAGTAACTGTATTCCAAATGAAAGGGCACCTGTACCAAATACAGCAACTCAAATTTAATATTAGTAGAATACGTATTTTCAATACATGTATTTAGTTACTTTCCAACACTGCACTTACAGCCCATGAATTTCACCAAAGCACTCATTTTACATATACAACATGTTCAAAAAGTCCAGCTGTCTCACCCAGTGCCACCTGAGACACCATTTGACCTTCTGAATTCCATCAGATCTAAATCAAGTCTGTATCAGGACTAAAAAGGGCTAATCCAGGTCCAGAACAGGCCTAAACCATAACCCAGACTAACCCAAATGAGGACAACAATGCTTAATATTAAAGTTATGGTAACAGATTTTTTCCCATGTATTTGAGCAGTACAGATATATGGTATAAGTATATCTTGTTGTCAAAATAATGTGTAATATTTGCATCCAACAGTGCACTTCCTAATCAGGAAGTAGTAATAAGATGGCAAAACTCTGCTCTGTCCTCTGACAGATGGGGAAAGTGTTTATAAAGTCATCCCTGTGAATAGTGTGAAAAGTGAGGAATAACTTTGGACCACAGCAAAATTGTTCAAATTAACTAATTCTGTTTTCTATGTCTTTACCGTGACATTCAAGTAAGCAAAGGCACTCTTCCTTTCTCAAACTCTTTTCAGCCTAGTGAATGATTGACTCTTGTGTATTTTAATTTTCACTTTATACACTAAAACAGCCTAAATGATTTCTACTGTGTAAATGCTTTGTGTAACATACCAGTTATCCACCGGGCAGACGTGCTGGTTGTACAGGGCCATGGCGTACCTACAGACACAGAAGAGAGGGAAGACAAAGTTTGTGAGACTTCATTTGACGACTTCTAAACGTTGTCACATTGCATCGCTATATAAAACGTTTTAACTGCATCCTGTAGAGTTGTATTCAGGCTTTTTGAAGATGGCTGCTCCATCTGTGTGACACCTGTTGCTAAATAAGACCAGCTGAATCCAGACTGTTCTTATCTCAGGGTCTATCTCTGACTGATAGGAAGAGCCAACAATAGTGCTGTACCAGGCCAATGACCGCTCACAGTACCGGGGCAGTGGAAGGAGGAACATCAAACATCATATAGGTTTATTTGTCACATAGGCTGTGTAAATGGACATTGCAAACCCACTAGCTGCACCGTTTCATTTTGGAAAGTGAACATAGGGCGCGGTTCTGACTCCATCGAGCTCCATTTGACTTTACATTGAAATATAGTTGGCCCTCTTTCTGTAACTGCTGCTGTGAGCCTCATCATTTTTGTCTTAAAAAAATTCATATTAACCTGGTCATGATCCTGTTGTTTTTATTTTGCCATTTTGTCTGTAAATAAATTCCTATTCCTAATATGGAACTGGCTCCAAATTCACATATAACTGCATAATAGCATTGTGAGCTACATTTGACAGGATCCAAATGCCATGGGAGATGTCACACTCCCTTAGTACAATTTTTTATATAGTTTAGGCAAAGAACTCAACAATACAGTACTAGTTTTTAAAATGTCATTGTATTGATTAGTGTTGTCACAATTATAAAATTCAAATTCGATACTAAGGAATAGATTTGATACTCCATACTTCATTAAAAAATTTCTTTCCTTAGACAATAGAATGTGAAGTTCAACTTTAAATCATAGTATGTTCTTTTATATTCCCATGGGGTCTTATATCTGTAATCTCTCAGTTGTCCAGGTAGGTTCCATGTGGTGCATGGTCATATACTAGTCTGTGTGCTCTTACACTTGTTCTGATACAGCTCATTCTAAAGCTGTTCAGGAAAAGTTCATTTCTGTCCTGTGAATGTGACTAATTCAGTATTGATACCTGCTCAAATGAGTATCTAGTTTTATTATCTGAGTTTCAATACTTTTGACAACCTTAATCCAGGCTGCTCTTATCTCCAGACTGCTCTTATCTCCAGGTCTATCTCCAACTGATAGGAAGAGCCCAGAATAGTGCTCAACCAGGCCGATGGCTCACTGTACCGGGGCAGTGGAAGTCCTTGTGAAAGACTTCAAACATCACACAGGTTTTCATGTTATTATGTCTACCTATTCTGTGGTTTGAGGAGACAAGCAAAGAACTCAATAGGACATTTGTTTTGTCACTGTTTTGATTACCACAAAAAAGACACCAGACCAGACATTTCGTATAGACTTTTGGCAGTCACAGCATAACCACAAAGAATAACATCTTGTTTTATTAAACATTAAAGGGCCCATAATATGCTATTTTCTGATCTATGTTATGATGTTGTGTCCTCATCAAAAACATACCTGGAGTTGTATTTTGTTTCATTCACACATGTTTAATACACAAACCCTGCATTTTGAATTCTTCTCTTAAACAGAAAACACTCTGTTCCACCTTGTGATGTTGTTAGGTGGTAATACAGGGAGCGCTCCACTGTGTTTTTAAACTACATAAACCTACATGAGAACTATTACAATAATTTCAACCATGGAATTACAAATTTCCATTGGACAAAAAGGTAAAGGGTAGCTCTTAACTTGAAAACTACCACTTCATGACATCACAAGGTGGAACAGAGCATTTTGAGCTTTGGAGATGTCGACATACTAATAATTACAGATTACTCAAACACATGTGAAAGTAACAAAACACAACTCCAGGTATGTTTTTGAGGAGGAAGCAATATTCTAACATGTCTTTAAGCTTACAAGTGTACATTTTGGGTAATATTTTACTTTAAAAAGAAGCTGACAGCCAAGTGTTCACCACACACATACTGAAGGAATCCCCGGCTATTGGACCCGAGGTTATAGTGGAAAACAGTGGAAATAAAACATGTGGCCAGATGAGGTTATTCAACTTTTCCATGGCGTTTTTGGGCACGTATTTTGTCCCTCCCTCAGTCCAAACAGAGCTGCTCTGGAGCACAGTCTATATTAAGCTGTGTTTTGTAGTTGTATGTGAACCTAGAGCTCTGGAACAGGCCTAGTACAGTAATAATAGGTCTGTTTACAGAATTAGCTCAGTATGAAATGAAAATGCCATGACAGAGTGACATTCTAGTCTCTAACTCCTCCTGTTGCTTAAGGTGCACTGTGTAACTTTTTGGCTGGGGGTCTGTTACCTACTTGTCTCTATGGATATTGCTCTGAGTGGGGTTGCCTCTCCATAGATCTGACCTGCAACTTGGTCTGGTTTGATCTCCATGAAAACAGATTTAGCTTTAATACCATACTGTGAAACATTCAAGGCAAAGCTACAACATCTCCACCCTCCACCAGAAAAGTTACATAATGCTCCTTTAACATTTTTAACACCAAACCTTTCTTATCAAAAACCGTTACAGTAGTACTAGACTACTTTAGGGGTTCATTGTGCTATTCATCTGTTGCACTCATGTTTTTAAAGGTCCTATATTACACACTCTGAGCTTTAAGTCATGTTAGAATGCTATTACCTCATCAAAAACATAGCTTGAGTTGTTTTGTTTCATTCACACATGTCTGAGTAACCCTTTAATATTAGTCTGTCTACATCTCCAAAGCTCAAAATGCTCTGTTCCACCTTATGATCATGAAGCTGTATTTTTCAAGTTAACAACTAACTTTTAGTTAGTTAGTTAGTAGAAATTATTTAGATGATTCTAGTGAAGGTGTATGGAGTTTAAAAACACAGCGGATCACTTTCTGTGTTACCACATAACATCACAAGATGTAACAGTGCATATTCTGTTTGAGAGAAGAACTCGGGGTTTCAGTGTTTAACATGTGTGAATGAAACAAAACACAACTGCGGATATATTTCTGATGAGGAAACAACATCATAACATTGATTAGACAATGGCGTAAAATGGGCCCTTTAAGGGGACCTACAGCTTTGTAACAGGCCTAGCAATAATAGGTTTGTTTACAGAATTAGCTCAGTATGAAATGAAAAAAGCCATGCTGTGGATAATTACATGTCTGAAGGCGGTTCATAGGTGGAACTTACAATGTTTTTAAGTTTATAATCGAACAAGGAGTTTAACAAAGGTTTGTGTGGAAACATCTGGTTTGGGTAGAAGAATTTCCAAAAGCTCAACAAACAGAAACCAGAGGAGGATGTAACAAATTAGGAGACTTGCAGCAGCAAAAGTTAGGCCTGTCACGATAACAAATTTTCAAGTTTGATCTATTGCTGAAGTAAATATAGAACGATATATAGTCAATAGTATTGAAACTAATTTATGCCATAACAACCCAAGAGCAGATTTAAACCACAAAAACGGTTGTAAATGGGCAATATTGTAAAAAAAATATATATATATATATATAAATAAAACATGAGCAGCAAAAAATAAATAAATAGCAGAATGAAATATTTAAATCTGTAATGAGTCATAGAAGTGATTCATTCAACCTCTTAAATCTTACCATTCAGCGAAAAATGATCACATTTCCCAGTAGTGCAAAACAATGTTCCAGCTTTCATATATTGCACAATAAGTCAATGTAGTAATAATTGTGACGGGGCATAGCAAGAGTAGCCTCCATCCTTAAAGGTGCACTATGTAACTTTTTGGTTGGGGCTCTGTCATTTATTCAATTACAGATGGTTTTATAGCTCAAAAATGCCTAGAAAAACACATATTCTGACTGAGTAACCGTTGCCTCTCCACAGCTCTAACCTGTAAAATAGGCTGGTTTGGTCTCCATGAAGATAGAAAGGTTTAATGTCATACTGTGAAACATTACAGACAAAAGCAATAACATCTCCATGGAGAAAATAATTTTACAGACTCTCCACCAGAAAAGTTACACACTGTGCCTATAATGCTGGAATAAAGAACAGAAAGCACACAGTTTTATCTAAACAAGCAGCTCATGACACAGTAACTTTTCGGGTGGAGGGTCCATCATGCTTTGTCTCACAGTATGGCCTTCAACCTTTCCATCTTCACTGAGACCAAACCAACTTACAGTTCAGATCTGTGGACAGGCAACCCCGCTCACAGTCAGAATGTCTTGTCTAGGTAGGTTTCTGAGCAATAAAACCACCTGTAATTTAATAAATGCAAAGTAGAGCTGTTTAATGTCATACTGTGGAATATTCCAGGCAGAGAAATGACATAGCCATAGAAACAACCCACTACCGAAAAATTAAACAGTGCACCTTGAAACCGCAGACTCCGCTTGGCTGCTGCACAGGGCACCACCACCGGATCCTTGAGGAAAATTCCCATTCCCTTCTGTTACCCATTCCCAAACTTACCTAACAAGCGGTGCATACAAAAGCAGGTTATGTAACAGACTACTAGGGCCTCTCTGATTCCAGTCTGAAAAAGAACGTCCAGTTTGGAAAAAGAAAATGGGCATCTAGTGTTTGCTTTAAAGGTCCTATATCATACAAAAAATGGCTTCTTGTGAACTTTAGGCCGTGTTATGATGTTGTTACCTCATCAAAAGCATACTTAGAGTTGTGTTTTGTTTCATTCACACATGTTTGAGTCATTTCGCATTATTAGGCTGATTCATCTTCAAAGCTGAAAATGCTCTGTTAAACCTTGTGATGTCATGAAGCAGTAGTTTTTATGTTAATAGCTACCTTTTAGCTTTTGTTCAGTAGAGATTGGCAGTTCCAGGGCTGAAATGTTGAAAATGATTCTGGTGAAGATGTATGGAGTTCAAAAACACACTTCCTGATATTACCACGACATCACAAAGTGGAATAGAGCATTTTTCCTGTTGTAGAGAAGAATTCAGCCTAAATATGCAGGGTTTGTGTGTTAAATGTATGAATGAAACAAAACAAAATTCTAGGTATGTTTTGATGAGAAACATAGTATAGACCAGAAAATAATGTAATTTGGGCTGTTTAAAGTTTTTAACACCAAAACTTTCTTACCAAAAAGTGCTACAATGCCAATAGATGACATTATTAAGTATCAAATATAATATCTGGAAATATGTGGAAGATTATCAGATCATCAACAAAGGCTAGACATCTCAGTTACTGAAGCCTTACTAAAAAAACAACTTTAGGCTGTCACTGATGTTACAGAGCAGAGCAAATCTGGCTGCATCACTTGTCTGCTGAACTGGCAGTAAGTGGTGCAGTTAAAACTAGGCCTGTCACAATAATTACTATAATTGACTGGCGCTTAATTTGTGTAGTTTATGAACACATGAGCAGTAGCGAGTCAAATAATTAACATTTACAACTCAATGGTAACTGACTACTTAAGTGTTTCATTCTGCCATGTGTTTGTTGCACTCATGTTTTAAGAATTTTACAGGTATTATGTCAGTCAGGGGCATTCAATAATATCATTGATTCACTGTATATCACATACAGTATTTAATATATAAATAGTGTTGACAGGCATGGTTAATAGGCCTGTCACGGTTGACTGATTGATTGTTTTTTATTACGAGTTTGTGCCAAGAGAGAAACAATAATCATCTATACTACATATACATTGTAAACAACAGAAAAGCACATTTCTCGAAAAGGAGTGGGAAGAAGAAAAATTTATATTTATCCACCCCTGTTCATGACAGTTTCAAAAATGATGTGGTTGCTTCTGTACATTGATCACGGAACTTAACAAATATTTACATATAGCTAAATAAATAATTACGATAATTACATGGCAGCTGGAACAATATTTTTGGGGCGTCAGTATTTATCATGAATAAATTTTCTTTGCATTACTGGGAAATATTTTGTTATTTTTTGACTATATAAGATTTGAATCATAAAAGGTTAAATAAATAACTTCTATTACTCATTACAGATACAAAAGCTTTTCATTCTGCTATGTATTTATTGCACTCCATGATTTTTTAACAGTATTGTACATTTAGAATATTTTTTGGGCCTGCTTTGGAGTAATTACATGAGCCATAAATTAGTTTCAGTATTATCGTTTATCGTCTGTATTTTCTTCATCAATTTATCTCACATCAAAATTTGTTGTTGTTGTTATGACAGGCCTAGTGGTTAATAGAGCAGTAGTACAGTAAAAGTGCAGGTCTGAGAGTGTACACAGGGGAGTCTCCAGTGAGGCCTGTGTGAATGTGGGCCATCTGTCCTGTCCCCCGCGGTGCATTCCTCCTCCTCACTGCACTAATAACAGGGCAAACTCTGAGCTGTCAGACCAAACCAGAGCAGGCCCCTTCCTCCAAACACACACAAACTACTGTACTCACACTACTGCTATTTGCTACTTATTTGGAATTTATTATTACCATTTATGTATATATTTTTTGCTCTTTGTTATTTTAATTTATTGTGATGTGTGAGCTACTGACTTCGACAAACTTTACTGAGTCATAAGGGAAATGATCTGGACACAGTAGCTCACGCACACAGACACACACAGACACACACAGACACACACAGACACACACAGACACACATAATATATTATAATAACAAAGAGCAGAGGTATAAATGGTAATATAGCCTAATTATATGAGTGTTTATATACAAGTAAAAATTAAAAATATAGAAATATAGCAATACAAATATATCTCAGCTATATACAAAAGGTCGTAAGGAGAAACAGAAAAATCTGCGCTGCAATAAATATTTAGCAGAATGAAGCACTTTAGTTCTTAGTTTGCCTCTGTAATGAGTCATAGATGTTATTAATAGTATCGTTTACGACTTAAACCATATCCTATTGCCACAAAATAACCAAAATTTTCTCAGTAGTGCAAAAAAATATTTAAAAACTAAAAATGTAAAAAACAAAGGTTACATTTCTTTAATTCTGTATAGAATCGTATATTGTATTGTATCGTACCATGAGATTTACATATCGTTACATCCCTAGTCTAGTACTCACACCTGTCTCTCTCTGTTTTTGCTGCTTATTTTGAATTTATTATTACCATTTTTAGATATAATAACAAAGAGCAAAAAATATAATAAATTGTGATGTGTGAGCTACTGACTTAAGGCTTTGACAAACTTTATTGATCCACAAAGGGAAATTATGATCCACAAAGGGAAATTATTTATATATAACACAGTAGCTCATACATTACAATATATTATAATAACAAAGAGCAGAGATATAACTGGTAATATTAAATTCTAAATAAGTATATAACAAGAGACTGCTGTCAAATAAGGTATAATTATATAAATGTTATGGAAAAATAAAGAATACAGAAATATAGAAATACAAATATATCTCAGCTATATACAAGAGGTTGTAAGGAGAAATGGTGCAAAGATGTCCACAGTGTGTCCAAATAATTTCTCTTGTGGATCAATAAAGTTTGTCCAAGTCTAGCATGTCCCTCCACACCACAGACACACACATCCACATCCACCGCCTCCACCGGATCATCTCAGCCTCCTGGAGACACATAATCTATAAAGCAATCGCCATGGCGCCCAGGAATTCTGAGTAAATATGCAGCGCTGCTCTCATGGAGACAGAGAACCATGACCCAAGAAATGTCCTTGATGCACTTGGTATTTTCACATCAGACCTCTCATGTTTGAGAGTGGAGAAGTGGGGAAAGGTGGAATCACAGTCTCTTTCTTAAATGCCAAACCATATCATCAAATTGATTTATAATGCTATTTTTTGTTCTGTTATAATGTTGTTTTCTCATCACAAACATACCTGGAGTTGTGTTTTGTTTCATTCACACAAATCCAGCACATTTAGTTCTTCTCTCAAACATAAAACACTCTGTTCCACTCTGTGATGTCATGTGGTAATACAGGTTTTTAAAGTCCACACACCTTCACTAGAATGATAATTATCTCTAGTAAACAAAAAGTAAAAGATACAGTTAACTTGAAAACTACTGCTTCATGACATCACAAGGTGAAACAGAACATTTTGAGTTTTGGAGATGTCAGTATAAACATATAAAAGGATTACTCAAACAGGTGTGAATGAAACAAAACACAACTCCAGGTGTTGTTTTTGATGAGGCAACAACATGATAATATGGCTTAAAGCACACAAGAGTCAATTTTACATAATATATAGAATCTTAGTTATAGTTAATCCCCAATATTTCAAATAAAATGTAATAGCTACATGCTTGTTATATTTAGATCCCTTATACAACATATAAAATAAAAAGTCAGTCTGCTCACTATAACCTTTTACCACCAGGTTACGCACTGGAACTACTACTGTGTCCATATGTCATGCATGATTTGGGGAAAATATCGAATTGCAATTTCATGTTTTAGCATTTAAGATCCTGAAGAATTCTGTAGAATTGACAAAAAGACTGAAATATGACATGACAATATGAACTGACAAACTAATATTAATACTTCAAAAACTGCAGCCTTTCCGATTTGCCAACTGTGTTCATTCAAATTGAGATATTGATTGTGATTAATTGACTGCACCTCTCAGCTCAGCTGTTTTTCTGCTTGACAACTGTCTTCTTTTGCATATGCATCAGAAAACAAACCATAATGGGCATTGCGTAACTTTTCTGGTGGAGAGTCCCTCAAAAGCTTTTCTCCGTCGATATGTTATTGCTTTGCCTGGAATGTTTCACAGTATGGTATTAAACCTTTTTATCTTCATAGAGACCAAACCAGGCCAAGTTACATTTCAGATCTGTGGAGGGGCAACTCCGCTCACAGTCAGAATGCCTGTTTTTCTAGGTATTTTTAAGCCATAAAATGACCTGTAATTGAATAAATGTAAGGTATAGCTGTTTAATGTCATGCTGTGGAACATTTCAGGCAGAACAATGACGTATCCGTATGAAACAAGCAGGTGATGGACCCCCAGTCAAAAAGTTACACAGTGCACCTTTAACAACAGGAGGAGCTGGTCAATAAAATATCACTTTTCTTATAATGCTATATAAAAATAACAAAAAAATTAAACAAAATAAAAAACAGAATGTCACTTACACAACCCATATCCCGGTGATGGTGAGGACCGGCAGACTGACCGGCAGGATCATCCACAGAGACATGCTTTGCCCTCTCCCCGATCACCCTCTCCTCCTTCCCTCTTTTTCCTCTTCAGCCAGCCCAGCACTGTCCGCTCCGGTAGCACTAACATTTAACTCCGTGACATGAGCAAAGACACCAACTGATTCATCTCTCTCCCGAGGCAGAGCAAAGGCTGCTGGGACACAGGATGGACAGATGTGGCCTTTTGTCGCTATAGGCAAAAAGGGGGAGCTACAGTTAGGGCATTATAAACATTGATTATAGTGGATTATCTGAACCATTTATGAATTGAATTAGAAGTGGGAGATGTATTGAAAAACAGATAATGTTGCAATCTTCTAGAGATTTTGATAAATTTGAATATCGAGTATACAAATTCATCAAGTGACAGTATACTACTTTCTGGAGGTGTAAAATCTCTTGCATGATTCCATGGAAACAGAAAGTTAAAGCTCTATTTTGGAACATTCTCCATGGAGCTAAATACATTTTATGCCATACTGTAAACTTAACGCTTTAAGATTATAGCCAAAGGAACAACTTCAATTTCCATGGAAACAAGCAGGAAGAGGCTCCCCTGCAGCCAAGTAAGAGTCAGACTTGTGGAGATGCAAGCCTGTCTGAGTAAAAACACGTGTTTTTCCCAGAGTACACACTGATATTTCCACACTTCTGTAGTTAATTTTATGGTTAATTCATGTTTTGTTTGTGATACTTGAACCGTAAGTCATTTAGAGACATACTTTAACATATTCCCGAGGCACTGTGAAAATATTATGGTAGGTGACGTGATTTTCTTTTTTTAATAGAGATTTTATTTTATTTTTTTTTTGGTCAATATTGCTTAGTTCTAAAATTAATGCATACAAACTTATATAAATAAAATAATTTATGACATAATCTTCAATACAATAATGTTTTAATTAAACATGCAGTGCTCATTATATTATACCTATAATTAATTACTTTTGATAAGAAAAATCTGTTCCCAATTCACAGAATTGTGTAAGCTACATTATTTAGAACCATATTTACTGTGATTTACTAAACTTGCTTCATCATTAGTGACAAAACGTGACTTAATTAGACTATAATGCAAATCCGTGTTTATTTTATTTTATTTTATTTTAAGGCAAGTTCAAATCTAGTAGACGGCAGTGTTGTGTTTTTACATGCTATTTTACATAATGGTAAATAGCTGTTTCCTTTGGTTTCCCTGGCTAACATCAAACATCAAAGAAAAAACAGGCTGCTCACCTTTTCTCAGCGTGCTTCCCAAGTTTTCCTTAGTTTTTTCCCAGTCGCGTTCCCCAAAACCCAGCGATCGTTCAGATTTGACCCACCGGGCGCGGAGTTAACCCTGTGTAGTTGATCCCGGTATTCTAAAAGCAGTTTTCCTCCAGATAGACCCCGGTAGGATGAGCTCCCGTTAGCCGATCGCACGCCGCTCAGAGTGGGGGAAGATGTGTGTGTCCCTCCGCCACGAGACACTCCAGCTGTGCCGCTCCGCCCCCGCGTCAGAGGAGAGGGACCTGGGAGGGAGCGTTCGGCTACACACACATTGCACACCGACAAGGGCGGTGTTAAATTTATACTAAACCATAAACTAATTAACGTGACTTACTAATGAATTTGAGAAATATAAATTAGGTAAACACAGCATTATGCCACTACGAAAGGCTCCAAAAGTAGAGTATGTCAGCGAAATAGAGTAATGACTTTTGTTTGAGTGCGCTCTATCAAACATCCAAGCGCTCCCTTTCTCAAACTTATCGATTCAAGAATGATTTGTGAGTACTTATTGTGTCTTCCAGAATACCCAACCCTTAAATATTCATCGAAAATGACAAAGTAACAATAATTTTAATACAATCCTAGCCATTCTATACTTCATCGTTTAAGATGAATTAGCTGGACGTTATGGTGTGCAGAAGGCTAGCGTGCTTTTGCTGCCTCCTAGGGTCCAATTGACGTTAGCTAAGTACTGTAAGTAAGTATTAATTATCAGAGAAAGACTTGAATTGTGTGCATTGCTACGTTCCTTTATTTATCAAAATCAAAGTATACAAAAACAACAAATAAAAGATAAATCATTATTAAAGATAAATTATTAGAAAAGAAATAACAGCGAAAGTTAGTTAGGAGTAGGGTGACCAGATTTTCAAAATTATAAACAGGGACACACCCGGGTTGGGATGGTAGATATTTTGTGAAAAAATTGTGAAAAAAGTATGTAGCACTGTCCACTGTTGACTCACGTGGGGGTGAGTGCATAATCTGAGACAAAATACAGAAGTGCTTCTGACAAGGGCGGTGTTAAATTTATACAAAATCATAAAGTAATTAATTTGGTTTACTAGCACTTAGCCAAAATACAGAAGTGCTTCTGTATTTTAGCTGAACAAATGCCATTTATGCTCCTCTGGTTTAGACCTGGTTTAAAACTGATATAGTCCAAATTTTTGCCCTAGTTTAGTCCTGGTTTAGACCTGAAATAGACCTGATATAGTCCTTGTTTACATCAAATTGGTCCAAAATAGCCTGATCCAAAATAGCCTTGGACATGCCTTGTATAAAACTGGGACAAATCATTGGTTTTGAATAAATTTGCTAGGACAGGGGACACAGGGCTCAAAACTGGGACGTCTGGTCACCCTGGATAGGGTTGGCAGTTTACAGTTTGCCTTATTGTGAAAAAGGTTAACCTGATCTTAATTTATGTAATTAGCAGGCTAGGCTAAAATATACTTAATCATACCATTAAAATAATAATAATAAAAAGTTAGCGAGTTGTACAAAACTTTTGCAAAAAGTAAATAAAATACAGTACAAATTACAAAGACAGAAAGTGTATTATTGTAAATTTAGAAAGGCTTTAAAGTGGTAATATTATAGAAAATGTATTCTTGTGACCTTTAAGCCATGTTATGGTGCTATTACCTAATCAAAATCATACCTGGAGTTGTGTTTTGTTTCATTCACACATGTTTGAGTAACATAACATCACAAGGGGACAGAGTCTAAATATGCAGGATTTGTGTGTTATGCATATATGAATGAAACAAAACACAACTCTCGGTATATTTCTGATGAAGAAGCAACATTATAACATTGATCAAAATAGCCTAATATGGGCGCTTTAAACTTGGTTATTGTAAGCTTAGTTTAGCATTTGATCAATATAATTACTCATCATGTTCAGATTAGTGGTATTAAAATGCAGTAAATTCAGAACAATTAACTTCAAATTATAGCATATATCATATTTAAAGAAACAGTAACTGAAGAGTTTTTAATGTCGATGTACCTTCTACAGCTTGATGGTGGTTCCAAAGCCCCACACACTGAATGCAGCATACAGGGGCTCGGTGAAAGAAGTCTGGACTTTATAGAGAAGCTGCATGTTGTTACCAGAAACAGCGTAATATGCCAAGGTACCTGCAATGTAATCCAGGTAGACCCCAATACGAGATGAACGAGGGACTGACAGATCTGTGCTCTTATTGTTGTGCACAAAAGACACTTTGGAGTCTGAGAGGTACAGGCTCCAGGATTTATTGTTCCAGCCCAGACTGCAATCATTGTCGTTGCCTTTGCGTCTGATTCCCTTATAGGTCACAGCTATGTCGACCTCCGTGCCCTTCCAGTCCACCTCCCAGTAAGAGCGAGAGGAAGTTAGGGTCTCTCTGCAAAGGACCTGAGGACCACACAATAAGTAAATATGTTCAGTGATATGATTTTATACTTTACAGATTCAGACAACTTTATTAACCCCACCAGGGGCAATTAGTTTGTACAGTAAAAAAACACAAACTGTATAAAGAAGTGGACTAAGGGCTTATGACATCACCCATAGCATTTAGCTCCAGTCAAATGAAGCCACTGAGACTAGCAGCTAGAGGGACAATTTAGAACAGAGTTTCTTTTAGGAATAAGAATCTATTTACAGACAAAATAGCTAAATAAAAAATGAACAATTTAGAGTGAGTTAATACAAACATTTTAAGACCAAAAAACATTACATCTATGTAGAATTTAAAAGGAAAATAGCAGTAGGAATATAACATTTCAAATATTTATTTGTTTTAGAATAGGACAAAACATAGCAAAGGCCTAAAGGCAATAAATAAAACTCACTTTTTAAAATATAATTCCAACTAACTAAGAACCAAAACATTATAAGTGTTGTCTCACCTGTTGCCAAGTTTCAAAGCGTTCTGGGTGGTCGGGGTAGTTCTTGGGCTCAGTCTTCATAGTAGCTGTTCTGTTTCCCTCAGAAAGGTGCAGATTGGGATGAACAGTGTTGACATCCAGACTCAACAGACAAGCGTCTAAATAATGAATACAGAAGGTCACAACAAATATTGAAAATATGCACATATTTTTATTCATTCATGTGGAAAAAATACAGATAAAAACTGAACATATTAAACCCCTAAAGATTTTTTTTTAAAGGTGCACAATGTAATTTTTCTGGCTGGTTCTCCATGGAGAGATGATATTGCTTTCTTAGAACAATCCATAGTATGGCAAATTATACATCTTATATTTGATGTGTTATTATTATTATTATTTTATTTTTTTCCAAAATGCATTGAAAAAAAAACTTATTCCTACTGAGCAGTTGTCTCTCCACCTTTAACATGGTGTAATAGTACCACTTGCTCATAGATAGAAGATAGTTATGTTTTATGCCAGACTGTGGAACATTACAGGCAAAGCAATAACATCACCATGGAGATAAACAGGTGTGAAACACTCAGGCGCATAGTTACATAGTGCACCATTAACCATAATATGTTCTTTTTACAGTGAATGTATTACACAATAGCAAAACATGACTGTCAAAACTCTTTGTAAACAAGATAAGAGAAAATTACTGTACAAGTCTAGATATTTTTAAAAGGCTTTAATAATGAGGAGGAGCTCAGAACACCTGTATTTGCTCAGATAACCTTGTATGGTAAGTTTGCTTTCACTGGCCAAACCTGTTCTGCAACTGCCATACCCTTTATTTGGTTTCTGCAACCTGGTATTACAATTCAATTAGGATTCAGGTAGCACAATAGAACATGACTGGTACTTTTTATGCTTCAATTGATACTTTGTAGTGACATCATACTGGGGGCGTTCTACATGTATGTTTATGGCAGATATAATGCCATGGTGACACAATGCACACATTAGCAAACACAGCCAAAAAAGTTTTTAGATGCTCTGAAAACCCAAAAATACAAAATGGGTTTAAACAGCATATTTTCAGGGGCCTGTGATGAATAGGAGTGTTCATGGTTTTGTTTAGGTGTTTAATTTTCAGAAAAAAGGTGAGAGAGACTAACTGAAAAACTGTTTGTTATGCTAGCTAGCTTGTGACTGTAATGTTATTTGAGAGGGATTTGTTTAGCAACACAAATTATCTCACCTGTTGTAGTTCCAACTAAGTCAATTCTTTGTGGTTATGTGTTAAAATAAAGCACAGATTAAAGTCCAGAGCAGAATCTACAGTTAGCATCACAACCCCAGGGAATGTTGATGATATCAGCTGCAAAGTATCAACAGACCAAAGTAAAATGTACTTACACTGTAAAAAATCATCTCTGGTCCTTGGCTCATCTCTGCTTCTTGACTCCTCCCTCCTTGGCTCCTCCCTCCTTGAATCCTCTCTCCTTGTCTCATCCCTCCTTGAATCCTCTCTTCTTGAATCCTCCTTGTAAAACGATTCCCTCCTGGGTTCCTTGTCTTCTTCTTGCGTGATGTAGACATCTTTGACTATTGAAATACCAACATTGACTCAGTAAGCTAATATTACATAATTACTAGAGTCCATTTTCAAATTCTAACCTGACGCAGAGATTTTGCTCATTTCTTGCTTGGTGACTTCCTCCACTTGTAATTTTAGCGAGGCAACAGCTCTTTTGGTAGAATCGAAGGAGTAGTTTGGAGCAACGCTGATACGATTGAGGTCTTCATATCCGGATGGACCAGCGAGAGACTGCCAACTCTAGAAAAGAGATTATTTTAGTCAAAACAAACAACCAGTTAGATCCAGAGTTTGGTAGAGTAGCCACAAATTGTACTCAAGTAAGACTAATGTTACTTCAAAACAATATTAGTCAAGTAAAAAAAGTGTTAAAAACCAGAAAACTACTGAGAAAACTATTACTCAAGTAAAAGTTAAAGTAAAAATAACTGTGGGGAAGTAACATCTGATTTATAATTTGAAGTTCAAATCTGATATTTTCAAAGGACAGACACAAAAATGAAAAAAATTTAATCATATCTGGTGGAGCATTGAAAACACAAATGATCAAATCATTTCATATTGTCCACATGAAGCTTTTTCCACTTGTAGACTTACTCACAGTGGGAAGCATAAACAAAACTTTTACTCAAGTAAGAGTATTGTTACTTCAATAAAAATAAGTAAGACTATATGCTGCTAGAAAAATACTCTGAAAAGTGCAATTTAATCAAAAAGTTACTCAAGTAAATGTAACTACTCACCTCTTTTTGGATCTTACCTAAATTGTGATTTCTACTGACCTGCAGGAAGTGAATGTGGTCGTCTGTATGGGAGAGTTTCTCTAGATCATTGTGTCTCTTCTTAAGCAGGGTGATCTCCTCCTCCAGCCGGTCCAGCAGGAGCTCAGAGCGTGTAACCGTGGCCTTCTCGTGAGCGCGGATCATCTCCTTTACCTCGTTGTACTTTCTCTCGATGGACAGGAGCAGCTCAGTGAAGATGCGCTCGTTCTCCTGCATCACCACCTGAGCTGAGTGCTGACAGAACATAAGGGAAGTTTAAGAAGAGGTGGGAACTTGGATAAGATGTATTTCTAAATAATACTTAGATAATATTGTTGTTTAGATGTTCTGAGTTACAAAGATACAAACTGCAGCAGTATGGTTTTCCTGATTAAAATCATATCAGGAACATTTTAGTTTTGCAGTAACATCACTGGGTGTAAAGTCTGGCATTAGAATTTTTATTTTTAGGACCAGATTATAAAGGGATTTTTAAAAAATCTCTAGATAAAGACAACTGATTCGCAGATTATTATTGTGTTTAAATTTAAAATTCTGTTTTAAGTCCTGGAGGATACTTCCATTGTAGTGAGTGAAGTTAGAATTCCATTGTACCCAGAAGTCGCCAAAGTAAGAGTGATAGTATCATTTTGCGTTACTGTCTTTATCTAACAGTCCCTAACAGGGCAGCTACAATGGTAATAGACACAAATATGCAAACATTCATTTTTAAGTTGATTACCATAGCCAGTTAGCAAGACATTTAGGTGCAGCTGCCACTATAATAAAATAACTAGCTACTATATTAGCACAGTGACTTACTCACATAACTAAGTAAACATGTCACTAGAAATAGCTGATAAGGTATTCGCTTGCAACTTATAATTTTATCAGGTCAAATATATACATTTATTTTAAATTTTTTATTATTTATATATTTTATGTAAATATATTTTATAAAATTGTATAATTTATCAGAAAAACCATACTCTTACACAGTATGCCACATCCCATAATTGCATAACCTCAAAGTATGCTACTTTGAGGTACTTACTTTCATTGACTCCATAGCTTGTCGAAGATCCTGCCATTTTTTAACCCTTTGGTCAATCCTCTGCTGAGATTTATGCAGAGTTGTCCCAAGTTGTTTCTAAAAAATAGAATAATATAACAAAAATAAATATAAAAACATACCTTCCTCAAGTAAAACAAATACTTTCCTGAACTAACCCTAAACACTCATCAAACCCACTTGTTTCTCTGTCCTCTCGGTTCCAGCTGGTACAAGGTCATGGTGCTTGTGTTCGTCCATCATACACAGCACACACACAGAGGTCTGGTCTGTGCGGCAGAAGGCCTCCAGGAGTTTGTCGTGTTGGGCGCAGACCTTCTCCCTCATCTGACCCGTGGCTTTCACCAGTTTGTGCTTCATGAGGGCTGGATACTCATAGTGCGACTGGAGATGGGCCTCGCAGTAAGACGCCAAACAGAGCAGGCAAGACTTCTCCGCTTTTTGCTTCCTAGTAATGCAGAAATCACACAGAACGTCTCCAGATTTAGCCTGGGATCTGGATTGGGACCTAGGCTGGCCTCGGCTGGTAGAGTGGCGAGGTTTGTCCATGCTGTATCGATCAAGGTCCAAAGACATGGTGATTTTTCTTTTTTAGCAGATTTCAAATTTATAGGATGAAAGAATAATTAGAAGTTCTCTTGAAGTGATCAGCTTGAGTGAAACTGTGTGACTGAGTATGTGTGGCAGAATGTAAGCTATGTAGTTTCCTCTCAATGAAAACCTGTATTCCTGGTTGGTTGGTTGGTAGTTCAGAACGAAAGAGGTGGGGCTATGAAACACTTTACTGAAACTTCAAACACAAGAGAATGATGAAACCAATATACATCAACTGATTATGAAATGTTTAAATATAGTTGTGGACACAAGGCTTAATCAGACTGTGTAACCATGGCAACTATATTAGTTATACTTTAATCCTTCTCACAACAAGTTCACAATAGTTGACGTACTATGTTGAAATATTCCTTTCATGAGAAGATACTGCATTTTTATCTGATTTGATTAAATATTTCACTGTTTTTATGCGTTATACTAGATCTAACAGTTTTAATATTGACACTCACATCATAAAAGTAGAAAACAAAAACTGTTTTCAAGTTGATGTGACAAAAAAAATTGGTCCAATTAATATTATTTATTAATTAGTGTTAATAAAAGCAAAAAACATTTCATTACCAATTTCCTTATCACAAACAATACAAACAATAAACCTTTCCAGTTCAGCACAAAAATAATCTAAATTTCCTCAAAAATATGAATTATGTTCAAAAAAAGTATTGAAAAAAGTATTGCCTGTAGACCTGATTAAAAAGACCGGAGTTTTCTAGGAGAACTGCGCCCTCTTGTGAGTTAATTGAAGCATGGCGTAATGTCTTTCTTAAATACTAGTAATACTTATATGCATATTCGCCGTCCATTTGGTGGTGGAAAGATACTGAAGCACCTAGTATAACATAAGATAACATTTATTGCATAGGCCTAGTAGTCTGTGGTGAGTGAAAACCAAACTACTACATTGAGGAGTTTGTTTTTACTCCAAGTAGGCGTCAGAAGTTATATTTTATGTTAACATTCCCCTAAAATGACAAAGGCCAGGTCATATTAACATTTGATTTTTTCCACTGTGAGATCAATCAACTCATCTCATCTGAATTAGGCTAAAAAATTGACAGGCTTAACTACAGCAATTTATGTTCGCACAGACTAAATAGAAAGACCCTTCTCCAGTTTTCATTAGGAACTCATCTCCAGGCCTGTTGGGGGCGCCTATGATAAGTAAGCTGCAGTGAAACGACAGTGTTTGCCTTGCCAAAGTAAATGTGTCGCTCCTTCGTTGGCGCCAGATGAGCAGTGGCGCCAGCTCTACACAGAGGAGAGAGAGAAGACCCAGCCAGCAGCGCGACGATCTCACAACAACAGCCTCACAACACCGCTTCACCGCAGCCCCACAGCCTGCCAGAGCCCGTGCCAAAGCCCGCCAGAGCCACCAGAGCCGCCAGAGCCCGCCTGCTCATTGCACAGCCCACTCAAGTCGGAGTTACCACATAAGCCATTTCTCTAATTTCTTCTGCATCAGCTGTGAAGACACGGACGGACAGAAAGGTGGGTATGGGACTCTTGGCTTCTTCCATTTAGAATGATTGGAGCTGTTCTGCCAATTTTCTCATAGATGCGTAACTGTGTGGCTACTGAGGCGAAAACGATCTTTGATACAATGCCAGCAGCAGCTTCAAAAACTCTGCGTTCTGTTACTTGTGTACTTTGTACAAGTCTTGGTAGAAAGTATTGGGATTGCAGGTCATATCTTTCATATCTAAATAGTTCGTTTAGTTTCATATTCGGGATATAAGGATTTGTGTTGTGCGTGCAGTGTAGGTTATTTAAAGCACGCTGTCAGTAGCAGACTAACCCGTATCCTGTACAGCTGAAGCTCCTAAAGACCCCCCAAGTTACTACGGTACGATTGGAGCCTGGACCAAGCTTCCGCTTAATTTTAACCATCCATGGGCTACTATCAGCTGTATACACCGCTGTAGCCTTGCTAACCCACAACATTAGCAGGCTCGTTAGCTTTGCATCATGGCTACGCTATGATGGCTACGTAGCCAGCGCGCTTGTCTCGGCTGGGTGCTGCTAACATCAGCAAGGCCGCCATTGAGGTGCCCTGTGTGGCTGGTGGGAGGCTGCAGCAGTAATTGAGCTCTTTGCATTTGTAGCCAAGATCCGTAGCCACTCTCACTTATGTTAGTTGTGGTTAGTTTTTGGGCAGTTTTGGGATTCCTAGATAATCCCATTGACACATCTAAACCTTCCGTATAGTTATTTACAAAGGAAATCTTATTTCCTTCCCGGGCTTTTCCTGGCGCTCCTTGCTCTCTCAGTTAGCCATCTTTGTTGCGACCATTTCGGTGTGACAGGTAATCTTAGCCCGATGTCGAGTTTCACGTTGTCTTTCATTTGTTTCTAGTGATTGCTATATGCCGTAAACTGTGCATTCTCTTTCTAGTTAGTTCTTGTTGAATTGTGTTTGTGTTTGTAGCCCCAGGGAGCTCCTGTTTATTACGGTCTGCTGGGCGGAAGCTAACATGCTAAAGTAGCTAGCGGCAGCCATCTTGTGCGAGCATGTCATCTGCGCTAGCTGAAGTGCTGGTGTGGCACTACAAGATGGCCTATTAATACTCTCCTGTTTCCGCGTCGACAACCTGAATATTGGTTCTGTGATTTATCTTTAATCTCACTCGACAATATTCACGGAACTTGGGCTTCCTTAATGGTAACTGAGTTTACCTATGGTATGTTTTGCTACTAAGCTAGTTAGCGGGCTAGATAACGAACACATTAGCAGCTAACACAATGCTGTTTTGTCGGTAACCAGTCTCCATTTGCCAAAGCCAGCTAACTAGCGGCTATGGAGGCTATTTGTAGCTGTTTTGGAAAGCTAACAACCAACAGCACGGTCTTTAATTAGACGTGTTTATGTTCTCAAACTCCATTATTTCCTTTAAACAAGACATTGTGGAGTCGATGCCATCTGCGCAGATAAGCGCCTTTTGTAGGCCACTGAGGCTTGGCATGCGTTTACGGATTAAGGCCATTATGGTGCATTCCAGTTTGATTTTTATCAAGTGTTAGCAGGTGAAATTATGCTCCTTTTCGCTAACATGGCTAGCAAATTGATCACCTAGCAGCTAAGTACAGTTTAGCTGTGCTGTATCATATGTTTGTGTGTAGTTTGTCATGTGTTAACATTTAAAGGATTTATTATGCAATGGTAGATGCAATTCTTTCAATCCAGCACACATTTCCTGTAGACATTAATAACCTATTAGTATATCCATTTAAGTATTTAGCAGTGCGCATTTCAACTATTTATATTATCCAACACTGGGTTTTATTTATGGAGTTCACTTTATTTGATATTCATTTGATACTCATTCCATTTTTATTGTTTAAATCACTGAATCTTAAATAGTGCTTTTGCAAGTGGCTAATTATAGACTTGTGTGTGTGTGTGTGTGTGTGTGTGTAAAGATAAACAATATTTCCATTAACTCTAGAACATTTTTGATATTGAAAAATAAACTTAAATAAATAAATATCATTATCTTAATATTTGATCATTAACATTATTTTTATCCTTCCGTTTATAGATCTGGATTCTTGAGACTGCTCCAGTGCTGCGCTGACAAAAACAACCAGTACATCCCCAGTTTCCTTATTTGGTTATCGTCCGGCCAAAAAACGGAGGTCGTTGGGCTGGAGTGTGTTCTTATGGCCGAGTCAGAGACTGAATGTGACACGCCGGGCCTTGACACACTTGGGTCGGAGTGTGTCATAGCCCACAGCCATGTCGACCTTCACTATGGGGCAGAGACGGAGATTATGACAGAGGAGAAGCGTGGCCTGGAGCTGGAGATACATGGAGGAGAGTTAAAGATACATGGGATTGGTACAGGGCTGGGAGCTGTAGCCTGTGTAGATGCCATCGTAGCAGAGTCGGACCATGACTACATTAAAGTTGAACATGCCGATATGCACTGTTTTACTGGAGCAGAGATTAAAACATCTGGGGGTGAACACCTGCTGGGAGAGGTGCTACTTAAAGCAGACGGCGAGCATGTGGTCAAAATGGAATCTGATCACGGTGGAGAGTTGACCGTGGAGTCAGAGAATGGTGTAATCATACATGAAGCTCACGGGCTGCAGTGTAATGAATGTGGGGAAATATTTGGCAGCATATCTGACCTTCACCAACACTTTGAGATCCACAAAGACCTCAACCCTTATATTTGTGTTCATTGTGGGGAGAGCTTTGCTGTGGAGGCCAGCCTGAAACAGCACATGAAGATCCACATGAAAGAAAAGCCATATGGCGTTGACATTATGGGGAAAGATGTTATGGACAGTTTCAGCCTCAAGTCTCATCAGATGATCCATTTACCTGACAAACCCCACAGATGCTCAGAGTGCGGGAAGAGCTTTGCTGCTGCCATAACACTGAGAGAACATATGAAGATGCATTCTGAGGACAAGCCATACAAGTGCACACAATGTAGAAAGAGCTTTGTCCGAAGAAGGCATCTGAAAAAGCATCAAGAAGTCCATGCACGAGAGAAGCCGTACACCTGTGGCCAGTGTGGGAAAGGGTTTGCAACAACATCTAACCTGAAACAACACCAAAAGACCCACACTTCAGTGGCCCTCGGGGACAAGCCTCATCGATGTGCGCAGTGCGGAAAGTGCTTTGCTGCTGCGGCGACTCTGAAGGAGCACCAGAGGATCCACTCGGGTGAGAAGTACAAATGTAACATGTGCAGGAAGAGCTTTGTCCGCAAACGCCACCTGAAGAAACACCAGCAGGTCCACGCCGGAGGAAAGCCCTACACCTGCCGACACTGCAACAAGGGCTTTAACCACTCCTCATCTCTGTCCCGGCACCACAAGACCCACCTGCAGAATCCCGCCATGCCTGTTATGCCAGTGATGCCAGTCATGCAAAATGTACCACCGGGTAAGGCGTTCGCATACTCTCCCACCAAGAGAGTTCACCAGCAGGGAGAAAAGCCCTACATGTGCCACCACTGCGATAAGGGCTTCAACCACTCCTCGTCACTGTCTCGGCACCAAAGAGTCCACTCCGAGGGCAAGAGCTACACCTGCGGCCACTGTGGGAAGAGGTTCAATCACTCCTCTTCCCTTGCACGCCACCAGAGGGTGCACTTGGAAAATAAGCAGCAGCAGTCGTCACCACCGCCTCCACAGCCACAACCACAGCAGTACAGTCCCATCCCCACACCAAAGGGATACCCCAACAATGCCTACAGCCCCAAACAACGTATGCTGGGGGTGGAAAAACCCTACAGGTGCACCCAGTGTGGAAAAGGCTTTAACCATTCTTCGTCTCTCTCCCGACACCATAGGATCCATGTTGACCAATGAGCACCTTTCCACAGTCTAAACAGTCTATTCTAAGCGCACATGTCTTGCTCTGTCTCCACATTACTCCTGTCATCTGAGTTGTTACAGCACAGGAAACATCAGGCTATTTTCTACAGACATTTTCAGAAACATGTCAAAATTCCTCTAAATAAAAGCGAAGCCTGAAGGACTAATTGCGCTTCATTCTCTCCGGGACTTTTGAACACTTTTAAAAATGTAATTTGAAGATCTGTATGATAAAATTGTTATCTTGAGAAAATATGCTTCACCTGCTGGTTAGTCATTTGATAGAATTCATTTAGTGTACTTTTAGGTACGCAAGTGCGCTTTTCAGCTGCAACTTTATTAAGACCACCATCAGAATTGGTGAGCAAGGACTATTGTTGACATTTTCTTTTTCACTTGCAAATCTCATATGAAGCAGACAAAAATCTAGTGTATATAAGTGTTTTCTTTTATATATATGTATAGGTGATTAGTGTGCTGTTTCAAAAGATTACATTTTTGATTGTAAGATCCACATTGTCTCCACTTTTTTCCTTTTTGACTATTATTTGAGTGTTGGAGATTTAAATGTCGCAGGTGTAACTCTTGCAGCTTGTTGGCCTATGAGAAGAGACACTTTGTATATTTGAAAGTGATTGTTGTAAATCTAAAACAAAAATGCTGCATAGATTGTACAGAGCAATACTGACACCCTGGTTCTATTATGTCTTGCCATTTAGCCACGAGATGATGCATAATAGAAAATAAACCTTCTGGGTAGCATATCAGATGACCCGTGTCCTGTTATTTGCTTTGAGTACTGGCGTTAGATGTATATGACTATAACTCTTGCTTTTGGAGACTAAAATATGTACAGAATATAGCTAACAAATGTGGATCTACAAACCTCAATTTGGTTGAATATATTGTGTATATTAAAACATGAAATTTTACAGGACTGGAGGACTTCCACAAATTCCAATGGATTCTCACTGTTCTGTGTAAATTATCTTTTACATAACTAATGTATTTTTTTAGATATGGCTTGGGTTATACGAAAGGGAATGAGAGAAACAGTTTTTACAGGAGTGAACTTTATGGTGAGCAATATTTTTAGTTTTCCTTTTAATTTGGATAACATTTGTGCTTCAGACAGTAGCATAGCTTTTTTTTCCTTGTGTTTAGATAGGTGCCTTATTGCATGCTATGTAGAAATGCTGAGCTGTAAGGAAAGCAAGTTGGGCTTTTGTCCTGGAGTTTTCAGTTCTTATTCATATTAACCACCCCACATTTTAGTTTTGTCAATAATATTGCTTTTATGTATATTAACATGTGTTTTACACTGTTATGTTCATATTGTCTTTTATTTTCCCCCATCTTTGTTGATGGCCACATTGTAGAAAGAAAATTTGTAAATGATCCATAGAAGCTTCTCTAAAGGGCAGATCCTGTAACACCTTTCCCGTTTCTTGAGTGGCACATTTATGGATAAATAAAGGTTGTTGACTCAGACCAAGTGTGTGATAATTACACTGAGGTTTTAAAAAAAAAAAAAGAAATACAAAATATTCGTTATGATTACTAGTGCAAAGCTATTGGAGTAATTCAAACTTTAGGTTACATTACAAAATGTCCACCAGGCGTCGCTGTATACCACGTAAATGAAAAGGGTTGACTCCGACGTCTTTTTGTAAATACATTATACTTGGCAGCTGCATGGGATTAAGTGATATTGTGTTACAGGTGTAATTTGAAACTACAGACTTATTTGAAAGATGTCTTCTGAAAGGAGTGAACTTCATTTATAAATAAGTAATTAACTACCACACTGCCATTAACTTCACTCTACTTCAGTAGCCTATGTGAAGAGGACTCATTTGGTTAACAATAACGCTTTATTATTATTTAGTAAGTAAACCAATAATGAAAAGAGTAGAGCATCAATGTCTGAAACCTGTACATTATATTTGACAATATTTGCTGTTAACCAGCCATGCATTCACAATGTGGATTCATAAAGGAAAAAATAGGTATGGTATATTCCCTGACAAAAATTACAATTTACAGAAGATACATACAAATTATACATGAACAACAATGTTGGAGTTCTGGACACAGCCTGTGCATAGGACATTATAATGGCTGCATTATCTAAACACTTGCTATACATTCATGACCGGCGTGAGCTGCAGGAGTGAGCTCTGTGGTCGGATGCTGTTGCTTTTGGTGTGAAGTTTTTCTAAATTTTGTAGAAATCCTCTTCTCTTCAGACCTTCCAATATCACGGTGTTGTTTGAGGCCAGACTGACTCGAGTTCTGTGTGGGGAAAGACACAAGGTTAAAATGTGACGTATTTCTTAAACCTACTATTTACATGAGCACAAAGGAATTCTTCATCTATTACTATATGAAATATTAAGTGCCGGACAGTAATTATACTTAATTATGAAAAATACTCCCTTCTGTCTAAATACAGATTTGTATAAGTTGGTGAGTTTGGTGTTTGTTCAGCTTTATTGCAATTTAGTTTAAAAGGAAGCTATTTGGAGGTAGGCCTAGCCCAGATTTGTAACCCAGGGGTCAACTAACCTCATATGTTTATTTTAACTGTCTTTAAAGTTTTTGCTGAACCTTGCATTTTACAGTCTGTAGTCTGGACCTGGCAGTTAACCAGTGGGGGGGATTAAACAAAATCCCAAGGTGTGATAATTAGGTGCCTGAAGCAAAGCTTAGTAAAAGTTGGGTACTGCAAGCAAAAAATAATGTCTATATTTTATGTCTGTTTCCCCATTTTATAGCTAACAAAAGTTTGATCTTTGTAGGCCCACATTTATTAATTAACACAGTATTTGCTAGGGAAATACTGTGCTAATTAATAAATGTAAAAAAAACACTTAGTACTACAGCATACAGCTGCTTCAGAACCATAGTCACAAAAGCGTATTTAATTGTTCTCACACATTGGCAGCATCCTTGTTTACAGTTGCCATGGAGAGTCAGTGGCTTTCACTAACAATGATAGTCATTCCTCTGCTGAACTCGAATTGAACTAGATGGCACAGGATCTTCTAGGCCTACACTGCCTACCACATTTGGTTTTACAATGCTAGCTAATTGTATAGGACATTACACATATTCTAGTTTACCGTTTTATGTTTTTCACATCTATGCTGTCAGGTACAAGGAGGAATCACTCACCGGGGAGAGTCAATTCCACTGTCTCCTGTCATGCTCTGGTTCTCCACCATTTCTGCTGGTTCACCCGCCTTGGCCATGGCTCCACTGGGCACACTCAGCCCACTTTTGTGAGTGGAAAGCTGTTCTCTTTCATCAGGAACCTCGAAATGATCCTTTTGTCCCTCCATGTCAACAGCCCATTGAGCAGATTCACCATCACCGTCGTCTGTGGACTTGCGGACAGTCTCTGAATCTGACTCCACCTCACTGGTTTGGCAGTAGTCAAAGATACTGCAGTCTGCAACCTCAGGAGTATCTGGACAATCCAGGTTCAGACTAGCTTCACTGTGTTGCTCTTCTCTCATTCTGTGCCTTGGACTTGGTCCACTGTGAGGAGATCTAGTCATTTGCCGATGATTGTTATTTCTCCATACTGTGTCCTCTGATTCAGCAGTAGCTTTATAAGTATTTTCTGAACCTTCCTGGACCAAAGGGGCATGTTGAATGTAAGAATTATAGTAGCGGCTGTGAGATCCCTGATATCTTAAATCCAATTTGTTATTATAATCTAGTTGTGGGTCATGGTAGTGGGGTATAGATGCCTGGTATACCTTCAAAGAATCAGAAACCTCTTCTTCATTAAGACACAATGAACTACAAGCATCCTCTTCATCCTTTTCATCCGCTTTTTCATAAAGCCTCAAATCATCTTCAAAAAAGCTACTAGCATCTGTGGCCACAGCATTATCATCAATGGACTCTAGCTTTTCCATATGTCCAGCCTTGTACTCTAACTTTGCACTGGCCTTTTGGTCTGTTTTACTGGTACTTAAAGGTGTCTCACAAGGTTGACCTTGAGACACTAAATTACCAGTTTTCCAAAGTTCACCATCGTGTGGTTTTGCAGTTCTGAGGGAGTGCTTTCTACGCAAAGTGGTGTTTGAAATTGGTAAATCATGCAAGGACCCTGGATCAAAATAATTTGACTTATCTTGGTTTAGGGTTGGTATTTCTTTGTAATCATCCTTTTCCCAAGTCTCCTTTGATTCCCTCTGGTGACGGACCTTGTCTTCTATTCTAAGGGTGCTACTCTGAGGATAGGCTGGACTGTAGTCCAGTGGCAGCTCCTTGGTAGGTTTCAAGTCTATTTGAAGGTCCTTGCCTTGAGGACAGCTGTATCTGTCCTCGGAATTTGGCGATCTTCCTATTTGCTCCTCTTCTGCAAAAGCGATTTTAGCTCGATGTGGGTCCCAAGATTTGGACCGGTAGCTTAAACGCTCTTTCCTCCCTTGTCCTGAGGCCTTGCCCTCTTTGCCCTCTCGTCTCCTGTGCTCCCTGCTTGTGGTGGGGGGAGTTTCCACCTCTGAGGGGTCATTGTTAAACCCCACTTGGAAGGGATTGTCAATGCGTTTTTTATAAAGAGATTTCCCCTCACCGGTCACGCCCTCTTCTGGCTGATCTGGCTGATCCACTGGGATTTCCACTCTGAGGCGAGTCGGGATCAAATCTTCCCCCTCTGGCAACTCATCTGCACACATGGCCACCTTATTCCTCACCCTCTCCCTGTCCTTCTCCCTCTTTTCTCTGGAAGAATGTGCCCTCCTCCTGCTGCGAGTAGCTTTGGGGGCCGACCGCCTTCCTCCAGATGCCTTAGCTGAATGATGATGCCTTGGCCTGGAGACGGACAGCATCTCAGTCGACATTCCCTTATCAACCAGTTTATCATCTTTGTCGAGAGCTCTGTCCACACCGTGTTCAAATCCCCTCTCCCGTCTCTCCTCCATCTTCTTCATCAGAACAGTGTGACGAGTCAGATTGTCCACAGTGAGCTCAGGGTTGATTCTTTTGATGATGGCATGCTCTAGGTCGCGAGGCAGATTGTTGAGGTCATCTTCATCACGAACTGGCCACTCCTCTGGGGGAAACTGTCCTGAAAAAGTAACATACTCTTTCTTTGGTTTGTCCTTCTTGTTTACATTTCTTCTGAACAAACTCAGACCAAATTTCCTTGGTGGTTTGATGTCTTTATCTTTGCGGCTTGTAGCATTTGTAGTTACTGTGTTTTTGCTAACCTCGCTAGCTTGACAATCTGCAGCCGTGGAGGTAGATTGGTGCTGAACGGTGGGTTTGAGATCCAGTGGACGTGGCCATTTTAAGCTTTTGCCTGTGCATTCACTGACAGACACTGATACTGAATGTTGGTCTGGTACAGTGGAAGATTGAAGTGTGCCTGTTGCTGGTGTAGAGGTGATGTTATTAACCAGTGGTAAAGGGGTAAAGCAGCTACATGACTTGCAGTGTGCCAGCGGTGGCGTATGGGTAGTCTCCATGCAGACATCATTACTCAAAAGGTAAGTTATAGGGGGAGGTGATGGGGGGTCGTCAGCTGAACCAGTGGGCCACCAGTTCTTCTCCCGGACCATGTTGTTGGTGATGAAGTAGGTTTGTGGAGTGACGATGAAATAGCCTTCTCCAGTGTGGTAGATCTTGCGCTCCTTTATCAGATTGCCCAGCGCGTTGTAGAGGATGTCCTGAGTTGGTATAGTAATTCCTGCAATCAAAAGAAAGTGAAGAATTAATCATTTTAAACTGTATTGTATTGTAGGCCTACACAATAAAAAAAAAAAACGTATTGCAATTTTTCTGTAGTATTAATGTTTAAAGGTGCACTATGTAACTCTTTTGTTTGGGAGTCTGTCACCTGCTTGTTTCTGTGGATATGTCATTGCTCTGCTTGGAATGTTCCAGTGTATGACAGTTTTACAGTTAAAAAATACCTAGAAAAACAGGATTTCTGACTGTGAGTGGGGTTGCCTCTTCACAGATCTGACCTGTGACTTTGCCTGGTTTCGTCTCCCTTATAATAGAGAAGTTTAATGCCATATTGTGAAACATTCCAGACTAAGCAATAACATCACCATGGAAAAAAAAAACATCTGAGGGCCAGATCTTCGCCAGAAAAGTTACACAATGCACCTGTGGAATTATGGTGAATTTCACATTGTAAACAACTCCAGGCCCATATTATGCTATTTTCTCCTCTATGTTTAAATGTTTTTTTCTCAACAAAAACATACCTGGAGTTAAACAACTGCAGCAACTCAATTAAGATTTTGATTCCATAACGATTAATTGCTCACCCCTATCGTATTGTATTTTGGTAATATTGAATTGCTAGAAAAGACAGAACATTGGAAGATAGAGGTGAAACTTTATTTGTGATACTATATCATAAGGCTGTACAATTAATCAAATGTTAATCAAGATCATAGTTCAGTCATTTTAAATAATCAGTGACGCTTGGATCATTTCAATCATGTGGTGTAAATTATTACACAATTATCTATTTAGGAGCAGAATTTAGACTTTAGAAGAAGAAATGAGACAATTTATGGGGGTTCAAATGCCAATGATTATAGAGAAGTGTGTTTTCAATAAGTCAAAATAATCAAACTGAATATCAGGATCGAGCAGTATGATTTCATTTTTGTCCTTTCATATCGCCCAGCCAACTATACCTTATCTAACAAAAGGCAGGTTTAGGCTACCAGTCAAGCTCCAATGGTGCTTCTTTTTCCTACGATGCAATTTAATAAAAGTACCACTAACCACATAAAACCCAATACAATCCCACTTCATAAAAGCCACATTTTTATGACATAATGTCTTCATAAAGCCATTATTGAATTTGGTAGATTTTCTTATGTTCTGAACACACATCTGGAATTATTTGCAATACTCATACATTTTTAACATTAAGCAGAGAATGATATGTCAATTCTCTGTCTATATTTCAAAATAAATTTCTAGGAACTTTATAGAGAGATAATGTGAATGTATAGTTCAAAGTATTTTTGGATGGGTTGGTAACAAGTAAGGATAATTTAAAGGAGAACTATGTAATTTTTCTGCAGGAGGATTTGCCATCTGCTTGATCACATGGAGATGTTACTGCTTTACCTGGAATGTAGACTACATGGTTTTCAAGGTATGTGTTTTAGCAATAAATTACATACTTGAAAAAATGCAAAAAAGACTAGTTTAATGCCATACTGATGAACTTTTCAGTCTAATTTCAGGAACATCCTCATGGACAGAAGCACGCAGCAGAGCTTCTACTAAGGTACATCTTGTACGTTTAACCAGTGGGGGAGTGTAATGAATTAAAATTTGTGAAGTAAATGGACTTAGGTAAAATTTCTGGTATCTGGATTTTTCTTAAGTACATTTTAAGGTGGAGACGTTTTACTTGTACTTCACTATATCTGAGAGCATGTATCTGTATTACATTTACTTTTATTTTTACTTGAGAATTTTTTTACTCTGGTATTTATACTTAAATTTCAAAATTGAGTACTTCTTCCACCACTGCGTTTCACCAACTACCTGAGGAGGCATGCAAACTAAAGTATTGTTAAGTGTGAATAAGTGAATAGTTCCTTGATGTAAAGTGCCTTGAAGGTGGAACTTGGAAAAAATGTGACTATGATGATCTACAATAGCTACTATAAGAAGTGGCTATTGTTGTTCTATATTTTACACCTTTCTAAAATATTTAGAATTTTCTTTAGTTTACATCCTTCAAAAGGCATTTTACTGTTATGCTCATAAAAGAAAATCCACCTGTAGCAAACGAATAAACTTTTATGAGAATTAAGGGTTCCTTATATGAATCATCAAAATGCACATTAACAACAAGGAGATGGAAACTCAACTACTGACCACATTGCTAGTTTTACTACAACTGTGCATAGTGTATTACCTGGATGGGCCTTGCTCATATAATTAATGAGTGCGTCTTGGTTCACAGTGATTTGGTTGGAGTTCATGTCAGAGATGACGGAGCACAGCACTTCGGCCAAAGGAATGAACTGGGACTGAGGTACGGGGGACATCTGCACTGGGGACAGATCACCTGAAAAAGAAACACAAGATGCATATTAGTTATCGGACAGGTGGGGTTAGAACTGGTCCCATATAAACACACCTGGCTCTGTGGGGTCTCTCTCCACTCTAAGCGCCAGTGAAAACATCTCATTGCAGTTGACATTCCTCAGCTAACCACTCTCTAAATCATGTCCGTGGTGGTCTATTTATGTGAGCTTTACGAACCGTGGCTGACTTGCTTTTTTGAAATTCCATCAATCCCGGGTACCAACCGCAAAAAATTCCTTTACTCCCGCAGAACTGACCACAGCCTGATCGAGTATCCTGCCCTCCCATAGCATAAGGTTGTGTACTTATAGGAGGTACGCTTGGGCAAACATGCTGGTGAAAGTTAGACTGACCCAAAATGAACAGAGTCTTAGAAACATGTTGCTTTCCAAATACCATAAAGTCATTTACACTCTACTCCCCTCCACGTCACTCCAAGGATTTTGACAGTAATGAGAGTAGCATGCAAACAAACGCAGTCAGCCCATTAGCCAGCAGCCACGTTATGACAGATCGTAAAAAATAAGCAGATCTGGAAACACACCAGAGCCATTTCATTATTTCATTAGAGAATTATGGCAATCAAGTGACTTTTATGCAAAGAAAAATAGATTTAAACAGCATGTTGTGGTTTAGGTGAAGTTACATTAAGAAAGCATGCAAGGTGATTATTATCAAAGCCACAGTGGTCTGCTTAAAAGATCTTCCAAAGATAATTTCCAGTCTACAAACCTGATCCCTGTGTTGACAAATGATTAAATCTGCAATGACTTAAGACAAACTCTCTTCATATGGTCCTTGAGTATAACCTAATTCACAAGCCTGGAAAATCTGTTTTAGTTCATCAGATACTTAATAAGTTTCAGGACTTACAAAATTGTGCAAGATTAAAACCAACCATCAAAATGTGTATTTATTATTTGTGAATATTTTAAGTAGCAACCAATTTTTCTTCTAAAATTTCAAACTCAATTTTGATACTAAGGAAAAGACTTGATTTTTGATACTTTTGTCAACCCTATTACCTACTGTAGATATTGACAGCCAACTATTTACAGTAATTAAGCGTGTGTTCCATTTTGTGATGTCATATGGTAATATAGGAAGCGCTTCACTATGTTTTTAAACCTTCACTAGAATTATTTAGATGATTTCAGACCTGGAATTTCCAATCTCTTCTGAACTATAGGTACAAGGTAGTTGTTAAACTGTAAACTAACGCTTCATGACATCACAAGGTGGAACAGAGATTTTGAGCTTTTTGCATTTATGAGGCCTAATAATGGAGGATTATTCAAACATGTGTGAGTGAAACAAAACACCACTCAGGTATGTTTCTAAGGAAGTAACAACATTGTAATATTGCTTAAAGCTCACAAGAGTTCATTTTGCGCAATACAATACCTTTAAATATCTGATTCATCCAATTCCAAAAAACATCTTTGTAAGTGTCATTGAGCCAAACCTTTTTTGTGTGATATTTTTGTAGTGAGAAGCGACACAGACACAGACCCAGCGGTCATGGAGCACAAACACTGTCAGCGTCACACTTGTAAACTAAACATTCTCTGTCCTAACACTTGAACCACTTAGACCCGAGAGACAGAGAAAATAAACAGCTTATCAAATATCTGTCATGGCTCTGAGCATGACTGAACACATGTGCGCCACATATGGACAGTTTCAAGTTCAACAATGGGACAGCTTCAGAAGTTAAATAGATTCATTTTAAGATGTCAAACTTAGATATATACAGTTAATGCTTGTAACTGAATTATGTGAAGTCATTAGGACCACAAAGGGAGCCCTGTGGGACGACTTAAGACTTTCAGACAGGAGCCTTTCTTTGTTAAAAGGTTCTATATTACATAAAATTGACTCTTCTACGCTTTAAGACGATGTTATATTGTTGTTACCTCCTCAAAAACATACTGGGAGTTGTGTTTTGTTTCATTCACACATGTCTGAGGAACCCTTTCTTATTATTCACTAGCAAGGACCACGCCACAGCAATGGAATAAATAAGATAAAGATGTTTATTGATGGGCGGATAGATGTAATGGCTGGGTGGAGACTCATCCAAAATGGTCACCCAGCTGATTCGAAACCCCCCCCCCTCCTTAAAAATGGTGTCTCCGGACAGAAGGATGGACAAGAGACACAAGGTGGGAAGGAGGGCTTCTGGGTAATTGAAGGTGTGGTTGAGATAAGCCGTGGTTGGCTAGAGAGAAGATTGAAGCAGTTGAGGTCCAGCTTCTGAATCTCACGTAATCATATCAACTCCACATCTCCAAAGCTCAAAATGCTCTGTTCCACCTTGTGATGTCATGAAGTGGTAGTTTTCAAATTAACAGCTACCTTTTACCTTTAGTTCAGTGGAGTTTGGCAATTACAACACTGAAATGAGAAAATAGCATAATATGGGCCCTTTAAGCTATCAAACTTAGACAGTTAATGCCTGTAACCGAATTATGTGAAGTTAGAAGTTATTAGGACCACAAAGGAAACCCTGTGGGATGTCTTAAGGAGCCTTTCTTTGTTAAATTGATCCTATCACACAGGGGTTGTAAAATACTTGTTCCTTCCTCGAGTCTGACGTTAATCTGTCCAAACCAGGCCAATACCTCAACAGCCATTTCCAAGCAGTAGAGATTTAACACCGCTGCTGACTATGCTGCCTATTGTGTGGGACTTCCTATAGGAATGTCTGTCCGCATAGCAACTGCACGTGAGCACCGTCAACAATACTTTTAGGTCTGAAAGAGGGGGTGGGGGTCGGATTCAATTATAGAGGGGCTAATCTACGAGGATGTCCTGTTTACCACCTCCTGTTTTGATTTATTTGGAAGTATGTGTAGGCCTGTAAGGATAACAAATTCTGAAGCATGATACAGAGAAACATTGCGATAAACACTAAATTTGAAACTACTTCATGCCACTGATACAAAGCAAGTTAATCTCAGTAAAACCAATTTTTAAAAATATTGCATCATTAAAAGGCCTGAGCTCCAACAAATGAGTAACAGAATGAAGTAATAATTAGCTACAGAAGTTATTTATTGTACAGCTCAAGTCTTTCAAACTCTATTTTCATATTGGGGAAAGGATACTTCATAGCGATTATGATACCACAATGACACTGATAGTTTGCCCTATTTATATATATATATATATATATATATATATATATATATATATATATATATATATATATATATATATATATATATATATATATATATATATACACACACACACACACACACACACACACACACATATATATTCAAATTAGTGTATAGTTTTGATACTGGCTTTATTATTGATTACTATCTGGATTTACTTTTTTTTTTTTTTTTTTTACAATAACAGCAATATAAGGATTTTTTTTGTATGTGCATTAGGACATCATTGCCTAGTATTTCACATATCAAAACATGTTTATATGATTTCTTTTTTTATCTACTACGCTTTATTTTCAGAGAGAAAGCTTGGATTAGGCGCTCAATGCCCTCTATTTGAAAACGTTGTGGAGATTTTGACATTTGTAGCTTGGCTATTGTGGACATGACAGCTGCAGACAGATGATTCATTTACAAAGCATTTGAAGCACTAGAAGTTTGTGTAGTACCATATGAGCAAAGTAGATGTGGTAATATGAACCAGCTTAGTCTTTATTGCATTCAACATTAGCAGGCGTGACTGTATTATAGTAGACTTCTTCTCTCCGGAGGAAACAGACCTTAGTGTTCCTGTAACCTTAGAGCTGCACGGCCACATTACACTCTTTGTCATATGCAGCATGAATACCCCTGCAACGCCATGGCAACCAGACTCTTGACAAAGACAGGCCGATCAACAGGCTGACAAGGAAAAAGTTGTGAGGCACCTCAGTTGACAAAAGTTGGTAAATGAAAGTTTGGTTTGAGGAACAATAGTCAAAGTAGCCAGAAACTCATGCATTATCTTTTGCCTACCATTGTTCTGCAACCTACCGCTGACAGCTCATACTAGCATGGATGCTGTGTGCTTTTTTTCTACCACAGAGTTGCTCTAGCTTTGCTAGGAATGTTCCACAGTATGCCGGTAAACTGATCTTGCATTCATTCATCACTGTGTTTATTGCTTAACAATACAGTAGAAAAACATCAGAAAAGTTCCACAGAGCGCCTTTAAGTTCTACACAACCAACTGGTAGTTCACAGACTGTAAAATGCGATGGTGTCATACTCTCAGATGAGGGGCAGTTTTTCTCTATTGATTACAGTGTAAATTCACAATTGTCGGGCCTGATTTCTTTTAGTGACTACTGCTAGACTCGCTGTATTACAAAAAAAATGCTTTTTAACAATAGTAATTTAGGTACCCTCTATTGTATAAAATAATATTGCTCTTTAGAACCCTGTGAAGTCACCTGAAACCCAGCAGTATACAAAATGTTCATTTTTAATATTGGCCATAAGTTTAACTGACCTTTTATGTCTGCGCAGGCGTATGGAAAAACAATTTCCATTCACGGTTGGATGAAACTTACATAAATGGCACATTTAATTATTACTGCGTTACATGGATATACTGCAGCTTCTTTACAAGGCGCCAATGTTCATAAATTATAAATGAATAAAAACTAATCAGCAACTTACTTTTTATGACTTCAACAAATTTTATATGATTGTATTAAAATATAAAAATACTTGTGAAAATATTACAGTCAAGAACATTTTCCAGTTATCATACGAGCTTTAAATTGAACCCAAAAGTCTGCAGTCAGGAGTCCCACTGTTCTTAGTCATAGTTTAGAGTTTGCACAAATCACTACAACAACTTCAAAACTGATCGATCAGTTTGGGTTTTTTCATGGGCAATGCTGAATGTATAAATCCTGATGAAGCTGATGGCTGATAAGCTCGACCAATATTTTATATAATTTAAATTACTACAAACTCACCCATCTTTTTAAATCATAAACAGTTTATGAGA